AGTCAACTCATTAGCAAAGACCCCAATGCTGGGAAAGATTGAAGGCAAAAGGAGAAGGGGGCAGCCAAGGGTGAAGTGGTTAGGTAGCATCACCAACTCAACGAACATGAATCTGAATAAACTCTGAGAGACAGTGGAGGACCGAGGAGCCTGGTATGCTGCAGTCCATGGGGCTGCAAAGAGCTGTACATGACTTAGAGAATAAACAAACAACAAAACAGCAAAAAAAAAAAAAAAAAAATGCAACCAGAGGGTCCAAGAAGTCACTGACAGTTAAAACTTAGTCCTTCTAAAATCTCTTAAGGGCAAACAGGCTTTGGAAAGCAGAAAGCAAACTCTTGTGATGCCAGGCCACAAGAGAGGCAGGGTGTTTGGAGGTACAAAGGGCTTCTGTCATGTCTCACACTACTCCGAATTACAAAAGCTGACTATGTTCTTCTCCTGACATCTGTTAGTAACAAAGATATAATAGAAATGCCTACTATGAGAAAGTGAAATTTTCTCTATCGTGTCTGACTCTGCAACCCCATGGACTATACAGTCCATCGAATTCTCCCAGGCCAGAACACTGGAGTGGGTAGCCTTTCCCTTCTCCAGGGGATCTTCCCAACCCAGGGATCAAACATCAGCCTCCCGCATTGCAGGCCGATTCTTTACCAGCTGAGCCACCAGGGAAGCCCACGGGGAAAGAATTTGCTAGAAAATTAGTTACTCATCTTCAGGAGTTTAAATTTTCTGTCACTTGAGAGTGAAGCCATTTTATAAACCCATCAGCAAGTTCCCTTGTCAAGACTAAACTCTTAAGCTTCTTCTGAATTTCTGAGAGATAACTTTAAGACCATAGTCTCAATTTTTAAATGCTGCATGCTTAATAACATACAGAAGAGTAACTGTTTATACGTGTTTCACATTAGCAGTTCATAACTAATGTCTCCTGAGGGTTATTAATCAAAAATCATTCATTGAAGCTCAGTCATTTGTGAAAACATGTTCATATGCCTTCCTTTGCTGTCCATAGCGATGGTTGCCTTGTATTCAATCCCTAGATGCTTCTCCAACTTCCTCTACCTACATCAGTGGTCCCCAACCTCTGGGATCTAATGCCTAATGATCTGAGGTGGAGCTGATATAGTAATAATAGAAATAAAGTGCACAATAAATGTAATGTGTTTGAATCATCCTGAAACCATCCCCCTGACCCAATCCGTGGAAAAATTGTCTTTCAAGAAATTGGTCTCTGGTGCCAAAAAGGTTGGGGGCCATTGCCCAACATCACTGCTGCCATCGGGACAAGGAAGAAGGAAGGTTCCGTGCTGGGGAGAGTGGGGGAGAGTGTCAGAAATCCCCTGTCCACAAAAGGGCAGTCTAAACAATTCATTTATACATTTGTTTTTCAGCCGCTCAGTCATGTCCGACTTTTTACGACCCCATGGACTGCAGCACACCAGGCTTCCCTGTCCTTCACCATCTCCTAGAGTTAGCTCAAACTCATGTCCATTGAGTCGGTGATGCCATCCAACCATCTCATCCTCTGTCATCCCCTTATACATTTAGTGTTTGGAAATGCAAAACAACACTGTGCATGGTTTTGGTATCACTGAGAAAGTGAAAACAAAGTTGCTTCAGGCAGGGAATGATTTTCAGGTTAACTAACCAGATCCTTTCATCTTTGCTACTAAAAAACTCAAACTCAGTCCAGAGAGATTGATTTTTCCCTGAGTAAAACAACTAATTTGTAGCAGAATTTAGACATACTCCAAGTTCCTAAACTCCAAGTCTCATACTATTTCTTCATTTCAGTTTTGTTTCCTATGTAAATTCTGCTCTGAAGAAAGAAAGAATTTTTCATATATATTTTATCTTAGTATTATGGTTGAATACTTTACATTTGCATTGAAAACAGTAGCAGTCTAAATCTTGTTAAATATATAAAAAATCAAGAAATGCTATTACTTATGTTTACTGTTCATGTTGATGACAAAATAGATTAATTAGAAGGTCTGCAGACTTCTACTTAGAAAACAGAGGAAGTGTGTTTCTCTGTATGTTTTTCAGAGGACTCATCTCCACTATCACATAGACTATCTCAAGCACTACCCCAGTGCTCTGTGGACAGAATTCACAATCCATTTGGGCTCTTTGTTTATGTCTTTAGTGTAACTATCACTACACTGGATCATTTGTCAGTCAGCTGTGTCAATGGGGTGGCTTTGCCCCTCTGGTTGCAAGTTCCTTGAGGTTACAACATAGCCTCTCATCATGATACATTCAAGCACCTCCATCATGGAGCTTCTTGCCCAACCAGTAGCCAGTAAATGTGTGTTGAATTGAATCACAGTGAACTATACTGGACATCATTATTTAGTTGTTATTACTTACTACAAGAAGAAAAAGCAAAGAATGAGCAAGAGAAACAAGAGACAGAAGAGATACTAGAGAGGAGAAATGGAGCAAAAAGAGGGCAAGAGGGAGAGGAGAGAGGGGGAGGGAGAGAGAAAGAAGGAAGGGAAAATAAAAAGAGGAAAATGGGAAACTACTTACAACAAAGACACATTTAATCTGTTTGTCTGTGAAATTACCATCTCATATTTCTTGCCCTTCTGGGTACTAGAGTGCAAGGGATTAGGCTTATATCCTGAAACTAACAAAAATTCAGAGCTTAAATTTCATTTTTGAAATCTTTTATAAGATTCAATATTTCACTTAAAGAATAAAGGATTTGTGTTAAGGTTTAAGGAATTATACTCTATAATTTCATTAAAACCACAAAAATTTAAAATTTGATTTTCATAAAATTTTAATTTCTATATTTTTATATTATTTTCACATATCTATTCTCACATCGCTTTATATTTTTCCTTTACTGCCTTATTAATATCCTTGTCCAATAACACTTCATTTGGGAACTTAGTGCTCCCATAATACTCATAGGGTTGAGTGGTATCATTTGACAAGTCACACTGAAAGAGGGTGGTTACACCATACCCAGAGAGACACCCTAGTTCTTTAGCAAGTTGAACACAAACTCACCTGCAATCAAACATCTAGAAACAATACATCATTAGTTAGCACATGCCATCCTATTAGCTTTGAGAATTAGGGTTTAGCATGCTTCTAGGGATTCAGAGAAATCAAACCCATATTGTGCTAGCCTAGCACAAAAAGTAGGAAATAATGGGAAAATGACTTTTTAAAAAAATATATCTGCAATACTACTTTTTGAAAAGAGAGATCGATGGGTAAATGGCTTTATCTGAAAGAACATTGAACAAAAAGTTGTTTTGATTGCCCTGATAAATAAATTACAAAGTCAGTATAAATCAATAATCTTCTAACTTCCCTAATCTCTATGAAATCAAGAAAATCTTTATGTATGGACACTCAAAAAAATCATTTGCCACCATTCATGAAAAGAATAAGAAATTGATTGTAACAATCACCTGAATCACTGTCTTTCTTAGTATTGATTCTATTTCACAGTGTTCTTTAAGATTCTGAAAACACATCATTTCTAACATTTTTGTTTCGCTATAAGACATTAAGAGATTCAGGTTTCCTCTCATCACCTTATCATCTCTCCGACCCACAAATTCTTAGCCTATCCTCCAGTGGGTGAGTGAGTCATTGTTCTGAAGATGAGCAGTTGCTATTCTCAGCAAAACACAATAAAGACCTACCAAGTAGGTGCTAAATTTTTAATTATCCACTAATGGATGATTGCACAAAGATCTTGGCAAGTGCTTCTGGGACTTTAGAGGACCTAAGAATCAGTCAGTGTACTCATTAAAAATACAAATTCCAAGCCCCTTTGTAATTTACCAGGTATGAGATGTCCCTGGGGATGGACATTTTAAAATAAGGACAACAGGTGATTCCTGATATAACACACTCGTGGACCACACTTTGAGAAACAGTGAAGCTGACTTGGGAAGCTGAAAATACTTCTAATCACCAGCCTACTGAAGACCTCTGTAATAGATCCAAAGTGAAAATACCTACAAGAAGGACAATGGATCCAAAGGTTTAGGTGAAAGCCTCCAGCCTTGGAATCTGAAATATCCTTAATGAAGGGAAGATAGCTGGAGAAGCAGCAGTAACTGAGACTTGTCCTGGGCCCTTCTCCTCAGCCCCTTTCACACCCAGACCTAGAGACTGCTGTTACCCTACTCCCACTTCTCTGACATCTACCACCTTAACATACAATCTGGACATACACTGAAAATTGTGAATACATTTAAGCTTGCCGGTGTGGGGAGAACAGACTGAAGTACTAGGAAAGTTGAAAGCATTATAGCCAAGAGGTCTGGATAAAGAATGACTTGAAAATAAGAAGAGAGGATGAAGTCAGAGAGAAAAGGCTGAGCCTGGAGTGAGGGCAGTATCCAGATCAAGTCAGTGACAGAGGGGACAGGGAGGGAGGCTGGGAAGGTCTGGCTCTCCTCTGTCAGTTGGACATTCCATTCAACTGCCCGTGGTGGGCATTCCAGTCCACTGACCATGCCTAGTTTGTGTGACTGACTTTCACCAGGTAGAACAATCAACAAGGTCACCATAAAATTTTGACCAACACCAGAGGCCAGTAAAGTGACCACTGAAAACAATTTCCACATTTGTGATCAATGGACCCATGTTTAAGGAGAAGAATTCCTTTGGTCTACCAAAATGGTTTGAGTTTCAGTCTCTAATTTCTTCCTTCTCAGATACTCTGATCTCCACCCAAAGGACACTATTTGGTGAGATGAAGCCAGTTTGTTGGTCAGCAGGAGCTCAGAAGCAAGAAAATGTCCCAGTGGTAGAAGACAGCACCATCTTCCTCAGCAGCAGCCCATCGCTGGAAGTTTCCAGAGCACTGTGCCAATCGAGTGGCGGAGGGACTTTCATTTAGAGACCCTAATGTGAGCCTTATGTGAGAAAATCGCAAACCTGTTTCTTGGATTTGTTAGCCTTACTGTTTCTGATACTTAGGTGCTGTCTCTTAGAGACCCTGAAACAGCCAAGACATGGCTGAGGACTTGGAGGAATCTGCAGGTGAGCATCCCTGGACCCTGAGTGAGTTAGACCTTTTGTGTCTGTGTGACCATATACATATGTGAAGTGGGCAATAGTAGCATGATTGAGGGAGATCTGTAGACCTGAGAGGTTTTATGAAAAGTTATATTAAAGTAAGATTGTTTCTCTCTACTTTCCCTTTATTCCAAAATAATAAATATCACAAGATTATAAATTATAATTATAAAAGACCAATGATGGACTGGGAGCCTGAGAGGTGATTGTGTCTTACCTCTTTAAAAATGTATATAGTCTATTTGAAGAGACAGTGGGTACAACACAAAGGCAGTCTCTTGTTTAATCTCCAATGCTGGCAGAGTCCTTTGGAAATATTCTGCTTTGCCAAAAATGACTGTATGAAAGGGTTCTGTTGTTTGAATTGGAGGCTTGTGGAAAATCATTACATCCAAAAATATCCCTCCTACCAACTTGCCGTGTGGTGTGAAATTTCTCAGTTCCCTTGACTCAAATATGCCTTTCAGTTTTCCAATGTGCTTTATTCAAATAATTCCTGAAATGTGCAAGTCAAAAATATTTGGATCATTTTATGAAAAGAACAAGGTTGCATGAACATGGTACTAGATGAGCTGGCAGGCCCAGAAGGGAAGTCAGAGAGAAAAAGGATGTGAATAAATAAGATGGAGGGGAGCATGGAGGAAGGAGGGAGAAAATAGCCAGCTCTATTACACTCCTGTCTTCCCCTAATCAAGTCAGGCATAAGAGGCTCAGTTCATGGAATCTGAGAGCTGAGCCTTGCTAAGGAGGATATAGAGTGGTACCTACATGACTGGAAGTATTAATTGAGACATAGCATCTTGTGTCTTCCCCTCCATGTTTAATTTAGGTTTTGAAGAAAAAATACTAAGCATCTTCTATTGTAAAGTGTGTCAAGTATATGAAATATAAATCACACTGTTCCTGCCATCAAAGAGCTGGCAGTCAAGAGGGAAGAGGAGAAAAGTAGGAGGAAGGGAGAGAGGGAGAGAGAAAAGGAGAGAGAGAAGGGAAGAAGAGAGAGGAGAGAGACAGAGAAGAGAAAGAGGAGAGAAAAGTGAATACTGCAAAGTAATTAACAGGAGGGCATTTCAGCATTTTTTTTTTAATGTTTACAATGTTGTATTGGTTTCTGCCATATTTAATTCTTTTCCCATCCATTTTAGGGATTTTGGGAGATATTAACCTCACTCTTGGCATGCTGAACAAGGAAGATAATATTAGCAAGGTAAGGAAAACAGAGAAAAATCTCTTCCCCATTCACTTTTTCTAGTCCAGTTATTGCAACATTTCATCTGCATCCTTCTTTGCCTCAACTTCCTCTTTTCTTTCTGGCTTCTTGAGTGGTATTCAGTTTTTCAGAAAATGCACTTTTCATGGAAGTCATTTTAATGTTTCCACCATGACACCTGGCATTTGAGGATTCAGAGTATCCTGTTGTAGAAGCTGGCAAAAGAATGCCCCCTTCCATAACCTCATGCAGATAGATGTGGAAAGAGGGGTATGTCAGACACAACCACATGGGTTAGAGCCTACTCCTGTGCACTTTGAGAGTTGGCAGACATTTTTTGGTGCGGACCAAATGTTTTATGAATGTTTTGGTGTGGACCAAATGTTTTGTGAATGTTTTGGACAGGACCAAATGACCTGCTAGGAATTTGAGGGCTCCTATGAGAAAATTCCCAAAGATCCAACCAGTCAATCCTAAAGGAAACCAACCCTGAGTATTCACTGGAAGGAATGAGGCTGAAGCTGAGGCTGCAACACTTTGGCCACCTGCTGGGAAGAACTGACTCAATGGAAAAGATCCTGATGTTGGGGAAGATTGAAGGGAGGAGAAGGGGGTGACAGAGGATGACGTGGTGTGTCCGTCATGGACTCAATGGACATGAGCTTGAGCAAACTCCAGGAGACAGTGAAGGACAGGTGTGCTGCAGTCCATGGGGTCACATAGAGTAGGACACCCCTTACGGACAGAACAACGAACAACAACGACTCATCTGTAGTGCTGTTTCACAAAAAAAGATGTATTTCTCTGAGATTTGAAGGTTTTTCTGGCTTCAATAACCTTTCATAAAATCACAATGCTATCCTTCATAGAACACTTATCTAGGGCACTTGATTCTTTCCAAACAATAATGCATTGTATTATGCTCACTCCTCACAACTTTGTAACATAGGTACTGTTATTTCCATTTGACAGCTAAGAAAAGCGAGACCCAGAGAAGTAACATGCTTGAGAACAGTAGACAAGCCCATTTGACTCCAAAATAAAGCTCCTAATCATTATTCAATGTAACCTCCCTGTGAAGGGCAGTACCTACACCTTTATCTCTTAATCCAGTGCATCTCAACCCTGACTCCATATTAGAATCCTGTCCGAAAAGTGAGTTATCTCACACCTTAAACACAGGCATGGTACCTCAAGGTAATATGCCTGAGGCTCTTGGAGATTTCAGAAGACCTGTCTCTCATCTTCCAAAGGCCATGTGGCCATCTGAGAGATTGAGAAGAGCCCTCACACACAACATCTGCTCAAGCCATGTAGTTCCCAGAGGCTGCAGCTCTGTGGAAAGGAGTTCACAACTTCTTCTCCACAAAGGCATAGATGAAGTAAGGGCTTACAAATCCCCTTTAGGAACAAGTTGCATAACTTTGCAGCCTCTTTGGGAATCACATCATATTCCTTAGTGCTATAGGTGCTGTTTAGTAGTAAAAGCAACAATTAGGGTGATGGGCATTTCCATTGCCCTGAGGGCCCTACAATAGAGAATTTCAAGAGACTTTAGTCTGTTGGGTAGCCCATTTCTATCTTCAGTTAGATATTGCCTTAGAAATATAGTCATATTAAAACAGGTTTTAGAATGAACTTTGCTTTACCTATAAGCCTTTGATTCCTAACGATGCATACTATGTTAAGTGCATATGCTCTCAGTCATGTTCACTTCTTTGCTACACCATGGACTATAGCCTGCCAGCCTCCTCTGTCCTTGGAATTTTCCAAGCAAGAATACTGGAATAGGTTGCCATTTCCTACTCCAGGGAATTTTCTGGCCCCAGAGACCGAACCCACGTCTCTTGGGTCTCCCGCATTGGCAGGCAGATTCTTTACCACTGTGCCATCTGGGAAGCCCATATTATTTTAAGGAAGCCTCAATTATGATATATAAAATTTCATAGGGATACATTGCTTAGTTTAATGGCATTATTCATCTGGACATTATCTGACTCTTTTAGTTTTGCAACTCAAATTTCTGTGTATAACTTTGTATGTTCACAGGAAGACATTTATGGTCATCTCACTTCCATTATTCAGAATACTGACATCTTGGATGATGCAATTGTCCAAAGGTTGATTTATTATGCTTCTAAGGACATGAGAGATGACAATGTAAGTTTGATCCTTAATGATGCATCAGTGTCAGGGCCAGTAACAGGTCTTTATGTGACGCAACCCAGGTAAACATCCATAAACTTTTTTTTACATCACTACAAGGACCATAGATCACTTCTATCTGTTTTTCATGGTAACTTGGATATTATTTACCCCATCACAGATGAGGAAACCGAGGTAGAGCTTCAAAAAGTTTTAGAAATAATATCCCATCCACTTTTAGATGAGGAAGTTGGTGCTTAGAGAGATTGTTTGCGAAGTAACACAGCTATCTATCAAGAGAATGAATAAATTAAAACCCAAATTTCTTGGTTCCCATGTGAATTCCTATCTCTTCATATGCCTAACTGCCACGTATACTAGGCATTGTATCTGAAAAATTATTTGTAGAAATAGTTTGAGTCTTACATTATTTTGTTACAGAAAGGATTTTTACTTGTTTACCTGCCAAGGGACAAGCAATCTAATTTCAGGGCTTGGGATTTTTCTGGGCAACTTCCATGACTCAGGGTTGGACTATAGTCCATGGAGAGCCAATTTAAACTTCCATATCAATGCAGCCCTTTGGGGTCTTAACCTGAAAGGTAAAAGATAGCATGACCAGGGTCTCACCATTGGTTGGCCCTGGATTCTGACTATTGTCCCAAAAAACTGCAAAGCAGCCCCAGAGGCAGGGTTTATATCTCTGGATATCCATTCTTGTCCAGATTTCAATTCAGTAATTCATTCCACCTCATATTGTGATTGTCTTTGATGTTTCTATGAGTATATTTGTTAATATCTTGCCCAGCATTTTTTCTTTTCCTCAGCAGGGAAAGTGGATCAAATTGACTTCATTCACCATTATCAAAAGCAAAGCCTCCTCCAAATATCTCAAACTTTAAGGATAATTAGATCAGGACAATACTAAAACTCAAAGCTTGGACTCCCAGCCCATTTTTTTTTCTCCATTCCCTTCAGTAATTCATATCACTTACACATAAATCTTAAGTTCATGGTACCTGGTTAATTAGCTAGAAAATTTCTATGCATGGCTTCGAGCTTACAAGAACTCTATGAAAACCTGGTTTTGAGGTGCTTTTGAATTACCTCTGCTTCCCAGCTGCAGACATCTACCCTAGAGTCTTCCACACAGGGTTTGTAACAGCCTGTTCTCCCTAGATTGAAAAGGTAGAAAACTTATAAATATTATGTCAACTATTTCCCCTCTGCTGGTTCTTGCTGGTTGTTATTGTTATTTCCCTTTTCTTCTTCAGATCCTCAGAGAAATCAGAATGCTAGCTGGGGAGGTGTTGGTGTCCCTTGCTGCACATGACTTCAACTCTGTGATGTATGAAGTACAAAGTAACTTCAGGATTCTGGAGCTACCAAACGAGTTTGTTGTGCTTGCCCTGGCTGAACTGGCAACCAGCTATGGTATGGAGGGAATAGCCTCCACATTTTCCCTGGGAAACCATCATTTTAATTGTCTAAACCCAAATGGGAGCAAACAGCAGAGGGGGAGGGTCTCTTATACTTCCTTCTGTACTAAAGAAATACTGACAGCGGCGTCTGGGCTACTGTTTGTGAGCTTAGATAGACCTGCTCGCCAGTCATGGGCCCACACTGCTTTGAATTTGACTGGACTCTTTCCCCCACCCTCACTTTTCCTTTCATCTGGCTTTGTGTTTGCAGAAGCACATTTTCCGCAAGCCATATTCTGCCAACCACTCAACTCTGACATGAAGTAAGGGTTTCCTAGGATGCTTTTTTCTGAACTACTTTATTTAACAGATATTTATTGAGCATCTATCACCTGTGCTAGGCCCTGGGGATACAGGCAAGTTCTGGTGGGAGGGATGAACATTAATGAAATAATCATTCAAGTAAGTAATTGCTACGGACCAACAGGTACAGACAACTGATAGAAAGCACCTTATTTTAAGGTGCTCTAACTATAGTAAGTCCCCCAGATATGATTGAGTTCCATTTCAAGAGTGTGTTTGTAAGTCCAGTTTGTTCGTTCAGTCCAACAAAGTTAGCCTAACATGGTTGGCTGTATAGTACCGTACTGGAATAGGCTTATAATAATTTTCATGCAAATAATGCATAAAAGATGAAGACAAGATATGAAGAAAATATTTTAATATTACTGTACAATATGTTGAAAAGTACAGTAATCACAAGCTACATCACCACAGCCTTTGTGCTTGCTTCCAGACATGATAGGCTTGGAATAAAAATACTGTACTACTGTATGGTCTACAGTCCTGGACTGTAAAGAACATATCTACTTGTAGAGGATGCATGCACATGACATTGTATACCAGACACGTGAACTAACGTATTAGGCTGGACATGCAATTGCACATTCTCATCTTTGAAAGTTTGCAACTTGAAGATTCATGTGTAGGAGACTTGCTGCACAGCCTGGTACTGGGGAGTGGGCATGGGGTAGAAAGTCTTCCCACTGCACCTCATCTGCCTTGAAATGCTTGTTGACTGATGATGGTTTGGAAAGCTGTGACAGAACGTCCTCTTGTACCCTTCCTGCAGTGTCCCAGAGCATTCCCTTCATGATGATGACCCTGCTCACCATGCAAACCATGCTCAGGCTGACTGAGGAGGAGAGGATGAAAGGAGCTTTCTGCATTGGTGGGTATCCCTGTGGTTTCCCCTTTGTTAAGACCAGACTATAAGTGGAGCAAATGTCTTATTTTTCCTTTTACTCTTGTCCTTTCTAGTAATAGTATCTACCATTTACTGAGGGCCTTCCACATGAAAGGCCTTCTGCCGGGAGGCCTTACCCCTGTCAATCCTCACTGCAATTCTGCAAAGTACTATTAGCCCATTTTACAGATGAGAAACTGAGGGTCAAAGAAGTTAAGCGATTTTCTCTTAAAGTCATGATAGTCAGTGTGATGGAGAGGTGGCATTCAGATCTGTATGACCACCCAGTCCATATTCTTTCCACTGTCCTACTAGTCAGTTTCTACTAGTCTCCTTTTTCGACTGGACCACACTTTCTCTAGTGTTTATGAGATCTTACTAGCTCTTAGCCATAGGCTAAATTTTGGTATCTCTTTGTAATGCTATATTGTGAAAATGATAAGTAAACAAGCTAATAAAAATACAAGCAATCATAAAATCAGGGAAAATGGGCAAACAAACTATGGTCACAAGTCCCTTCTACCCCAAAACTGAAAGACATCTATAGTAACCAACAGTCTGCAGAGAATGACATACCCTTCAGTTCCTGGAAAAAGCATTCTTTGTACAACAAGAGGCTTCTTGGATGAGTCTGAAGACCTGGACTCTCTCCTCTGATCAGTCACTGAGCCATCAGATGATTCTATCCTTCTCTCAACCTCAATTTCACCTCTAAAAACAACAAATGAAGTGACTGCTGAGACTGACTTCTTTCCACCACTGACATCTCTGTGACTATTATTTTATAGTATTTTAAGTCCCATGCTGTCAGAAATGTCTTCTTTACTTATCATCCAAGTCTTCTCTGTTCTATTTTGCCCATTTCTTCTTGTCTGTCCTCAATGAAGGTAAGATTTGTACCTGATAAATATTGAGAATTTACTATCTACCTGGGTACTGCCATGGGTATTTTTAGATTATTATTTCATTTAACCCTCACAGTTACTGCATTGAGTGGATAACAATTTCAGTTCATTTTACAGATGAGAAATTGAGGCTTAGAAAGGTTAAACAGCTTTCCTGCAATCATATAGCCAATACTTGGCAGAGAAAAGATGTGAAGTATGACTCTAACTCAAGGAGTCAAACTACTATACTAGATTAGCAGTTTTGAATATTTTTTTTATTTTCCCTACTTACCATCACAGTTAACATTGTATTCCAACAAAACAACATTTGGTGCCTCTAAGTGCATTTCTACCTCCAATATTAATAACCAAGAGAGTAAAAGAAAATAAAATCAGAAATCACAATGCAATGAATAAAGGAATTCTTATCTGTGTATTATAAAGTTATCTAAGTGCTCTTTGGTCCTAAAGCAATCTTGCCTGACTGCCAGTTAAGGTTACATGTCTATACTATAAAGAAAATGTACATAATTTAATAGCCATCCATCTAGCTATGCAATCAATCAGCAAAGAAACAGATGTTGTGTTTGTTGTTTCAGAAACAAACAAGGTATGTATACACACACTCACAAAATAGATTTGACAAAATGTAACATGAAATTATATGAGAGAGTCTGGAGGGGGAGGAATAAAGCAATAAATGACCAGTTCTAAAGTTAAGATACTCGGCATCTTTTCCATAGTATTGTATGACATATCCTTGAGAGAGTAAACTATAATTTTTTACTATCTAATACAAGGGATAGCATGAGGAGCTGAAGGAAAAAACAATTATTTAATGACTTGATGCAAATATATATGATATTTTGCAGGCTCAAGATTTTTTAATTTTATTAAAGTAAAACATACATGGAGAAAAACATAATTACCATAAGTATACAGAGTGCTGAATAGTCACAAAGTCAGTCATCCATTTGACCACCACTCAGGTTAAAACTTTGGACATTATTAACTCCCTAGAGGCCCCCTTCATCTTTTTTCCCAATCATCACCCTCTCCATCCTTTTTAAGAGTAACCACAATTATGGATTCTAGCACCACAGGTTAACTTTGCCTATTTGTGAGATTCATGCATGTTGTTTTGTATCCATGGAGTCCATTTTCATCTCTGTTTACAGTTACATGTCTATATGATAGTTTTTCCATCCTACCTGTGGACAAATAATTTGGATTGTTTTTTGTTTGAAGCTGTTACCAAAAAGTGAATAGAAACATTCTTGTACCAGGCTTTTAGTGCCTAAGTGTATATATATCCAAGGGCTGTATACCTCAGAGCAGAATTTCTGAGCCCTAGATAAAGCATATTCAACTTTGGTTGATAATGTCAAACCATTCTCTAAAGTGTTTGTAGCGGTTCATACTCTCACTAGCAAAATGTCAAAATACCAGCTGTACCTTTGTCTTGTCAATACTTGACACTGACTGTCTGAAATGTTAGCAATTCTGGATGGTATGTTGCAGTGTCTCATTATGGTTTTAATTTACATTTCACTAAAGTGGCTGGAGCACTTTTTTATATATTCACTTGGTACTGTCATAGATTTTATAGAAATTAATACACACTTGTTAATCATCAGTACACTTTTCTCAGTTATATTATGGCCCATCCCATCTTGATTTTTTTCTCAGTCTGTGGTTGTTTTTAAAATGCAGCCCTAGAGAAGTTTAGCAGAGCTATTTACAAGTATGTCAACCACTGGAGAGATTTCCCCTATCCCAGATTGGATGCCAACCGCCTCTCTGACAAGATCTTCATGCTGTTCCGGTATATCATGGACAAATGGGCCTCCACGACCTCGCCCACGCAAGTGAGTGGGGCTCAGTATGACTTGAGTTAGCTCTCCTCCCATCCCAATTGAACTTCCTCTTCTCTTTTTAACATGATAATTCATCTTAGTTCTTTTGGAAAGTGATGGGTTGTATTTTATCTGGTTTATTAAGTCTTTTGTTTTTCCTGTTTCAAATCACTATTTACTCATTTATTTCAACTAATATTTATTGAGTCCCCATGACATGTCAGTTATCATTCCACATACTGGAGATACAGCAGAGATTAAACAGACCCAAATCCCCACTCTCATGGAACTGACATGCCAAGTTGTGGAGAGAACAATAAATAACTAAAATGAGCAAAATACATGGAATGTTAGCTATATCATAACCCATATTTGGACTGAGTCACTGATTAGGAAAAACACCAGTCCACAGAAATTTGCTGTGTCTCTGACTATCACAATGAGTTAAAATGACATCTAAAGAATGAGCTTGACCATTTCATAATAGTGTAATACCTTATAAAGAATAGATTACAAAGGGCATTCATATATATAATCCCATCCTAATCTTGTTTAATAGCTATAATTTTTAAGTAAAATAAATTATATTTTATTTCAATCTCTTTATTGCTATATTATAAAAGATTTAACATTTAGCTACCTTCTCCAGTTTCTTTTTTATATTTTGAGCTATTATTTTTTCTAACAGGCTGGGATGGTGAAATCATTAGCAAACATGAAATTTTTAAAATACTCTGTAGACGTCTTTTCTGGAAGCCACTTGAGAAGCAAAATGCAATTCAAATTTGCTCACATACATCATGACCAAGTGGGCTTTATCCCAGGAATGCAAGGATTCTTTAATATCCGCAAATCAATCAATGTAATACACCACATTAACAAATTGAAAGATAAAAACCATATGATTATCTCAATAGATGCAGAAAAAGCCTTTGATAAAATTCAACATCCATTTATGATTAAAACTCTCCAGAAAGCAGGAATAGAAGGAACATACCTCAACATAATAAAAGCTATATATGACAAACCCACAGCAAGCATCACCCTCAATGGTGAAAAACTGAAAGCATTTCCCCTGAAATCAGGAACAAGACAAGGGTGCCCACTCTCACCACTACTATTCAACATAGTTTTGGAAGTTTTGGCCACAGCAATCAGAGCAGAAAAAGAAGTAAAAGGAATCCAGATAGGAAAAGAAGAAGTGAAACTCTCGCTGTTTGCAGATGACATGATCCTCTACATAGAAAATCCTAAAGACTCTACCAGAAAATTACTAGAGATAATCAACGAATACAGTAAAGTTGCAGGATATAAAATTAACACACAGAAATCTCTTGCATTCCTATACACTAACAATGAGAAAACAGAAAGAGAAATTAAGGAAACAATACCATTCACCATTGCAACAAAAAGAATAAAATACTTAGGAGTATATCTACCTAAAGAAACAAAAGACCTATACATAGAAAACTATAAAACACTGATGAAAGAAATCAAAGAGGACACAAACAGATGGAGAAATATACCGTGTTCATGGATTGGAAGAATCAATATTGTCAAAATGGCTATACTACCCAAAGCAATCTACAGATTCAATGCCATCCCTATCAAACTACCAACGATATTTTTCACAGAACTAGAACGAATAATTTCACAATTTGTATGGAAATACAAAAAACCTCGAATAGCCAAAGTAATCCTGAGAAAGAAGAATGGAACTGGAGGAATCAATCTGCCTGACTTCAGACTATACTACAAAGCCACAGTCATCAAGACAGTATGGTACTGGCACAAAGACAGAAATATAGATCAATGGAACAGAATAGAAAGCCCAGAGATAAATCCACGAACCTATGGTCACCTTATCTTTGACAAAGGAGGCAAGGATATACAATGGAAAAAAGACAACCTCTTTAACAAGTGGTGCTGGGAAAACTGGTCAACCACCTGTAAAAGAATGAAACTAGAACACTTTCTAACACCATACACAAAAATAAACTCAAGATGGATTAAAGATATAAATGTAAGACCAGAAACTATAAAACTCCTAGAGGAGAAACACTCTCCGACATAAATCACAGCAGGATCCTCTATGACCCACATCCCAGAATTTTAGAAATAAAAGCAAAAATAAACAAATGGGACCTAATGAAACTTAAAAGCTTTTGCACAACAAAGGAAACTATAAGCAAGGTGAAAAGACAGCCCTCAGATTGGGAGAAAATAATAGCAAACGAAGCAACAGACAAAGGATTAATCTCAAAAATATACAAGCAACTCCTCCAGCTCAACTCCAGAAAAATAAATGACCCAATCAAAAAATGGGCCAAAGAACTGAACAGACATTTCTCCAAGGAAGACATACAGATGGCTAACAAACACATGAAAAGATGCTCAACATCACTCATTATCAGAGAAATGCAAATCAAAACCACAATGAGGTACCATTACACACCAGTCAGGATGGCTGCTATCCAAAAGTCTACAAGCAATAAATGCTGGAGAGGGTGTGGAGAAAAGGGAACCCTCTTACACTGTTGGTGGGAATGCAAATTAGTACAGCCACTATGGAAAACAGTGTGGAGATTTCTTAAAAAGCTGGAAATAGAACTGCCATATGACCCAGCAATCCCACTTCTGGGCATACACACCGAGGAAACCAGATCTGAAAGAGACACGTGCACCCCAATGTTCATCGCAGCACTGTTTATAATAGCCAGGACATGGAAGCAACCTAGATGCCCATCAGCAGACGAATGGATGAGGAAGCTGTGGTACATATACACCATGGAATATTACTCAGCCATTAAAAAGAATTCATTTGAATCAGTTCTAATGAGATGGATGAAACTGGAGCCCATTATACAGAGCGAAGTAAGCCAGAAAGATAAAGACCATTACAGTATACTAACACATATATATGGAATTTAGAAAGATGGTAACGATAACTCTATGTGCAAAACAGAAAAAGAGACTCCTATGTATAGAACAGACTTGTGGACTCTGGGAGAAGGCGAGGGTGGGATGTTTCAAGAGAACAGCATTGAAACACGTATATTATCTAGGGTGAAACAGTTCACCAGCCCAGGTTGGGTGCATGAGACAAGTGCTCGGGCCTGGTGCACTGGGAAGACCCAGAGGGATTGGGTGGAGAGGGAGGTGGGAGGGGGGACCGGGATGGGGAATACATGTAAAAAAAAAAAAAAAAAAGATACACTATGGTTGTGATAAAAAAAATAAATTAATTAATTAATTAATTTAAAAAAAAAAGAACAATGATTAAAAAAAAAAAAAGAGTTAGGCAAGTAATAAGAAGGTGCAGAAAGTAATAGGAGAGCAAGGACTTAACACCCGATGCGCACTAGAAAGGCCATGACATGAACTGAGCCTGCAGCCTATGAAGTCATTTACTGCTGGGAGATGCAGTCGCTAAAGAGGGGATAAACTCACTGAAGCATAGGTTGGAGATGGGATAACGTGGTACTTGAGTGCGTTAAGTGGGCGGAGGGGAAGCAGGGTGAGGAAAGTGAATATAAAGAGGCAGAAAGAAAAGAAACCCAAATGGTGATCTTGGCCAACAGAATTAAGAGCCTTGAATTCTACACAGGATGTTTTTAAAGACATAAGAAAACTTGGAAGGACTTAAGAAGAATGAGATCTTAGAAACTAAGGAGGGATTTTCAAGAAGCAAAGACAGATCTACAGAGGCCATTGTTATGGTGTTCGAATAAGGAAAATCTTGAAACATGTCCACTGCATGGAAATGTGGTAGAACCACCTCCCAGCTGACACACAGTCTTAAGTGAAATAAATGGTTATTGTTATTAACCACTAAACTTCTTAAAATTTATTTTTTAATTGGAGTATAATTGCTTTACAATGTTGTGTTAGTTTCTGCTGTATAACAACATGAATCAGACATATGTGTGCATATATCCCCTCTCTCTGGAGCCTCTCTCCCATCCGATCCCACCCCTCTAGGTCATCCCAGAGCACTGAGCTGAGCTCCCTGGGCTATGCAGCAGCTTCTCAAAAGCTATCTGTTTTATGCAAGGTTGTGTCTATATATCTACGCTAGTCTCTCAGTCCATCCAATTCTCTCCTTCCCCCATTGCGCCCACAACTCTGTTCTTAATATCTGCATCTCTATTCCTGTCCTGCAAATAGGTCCATCGGCACCATTTTTCTAGATTCCAAGTATATGTGTTAATATACAATATGATTGTATTGTATATTACAATATACAATATGCAAAGAGTTTTCCTCTTTCTGACTTACTTCACTCTGCATGACAATCTCTAGGTTCATCCACATCACTACAAATGGCACAATTTTGTTCCTTTCTGTGACTGTCCCTAACTTGTGAGATGTTTTGCTCTACAGAAAAAATTAGCTAACAGAGAAAAAATTATATAATATTAGATAGAGAAAACAGAATATAGAGCTATAGTTTAAAGAATGATGTCAATTTTTAAGAAATTAAAATACATAGAGAAAAAGAGAGAAAGGAAAAGGTCAAGTAAAGAAATAACTTATTAAAAACATACCAAATAGTGCCTATTCATGAGTACTGTGGGTGCTGTGTTCTCTGTTTCATCCTAATTTTTGTGATTTCTAAATTTTTATCATCAATATATATTGCATTGATATTTTGTGCGGATTCACTTTTCATGTCATGTGGAAGCCAGAGTATTGTGGACTGAGAAATAAATGGAAGGTAGGGAGTGGAGATAGTAAAGACAGACCACTCCTTCAATAAATTTTGATCTGCAAGCAAGAAAAGAGAGAATTGAGTGAGGATAACAGTGGGGTTGAAGTGATATGGAATCCAAGAATTTTTCATGTAAGGGAGATTTTTAATTTATTAATATATTCTCATTAGTTGTATAGCACAGGGAGCTCTACTTAATTCACTGTGGTGACTTGAACAGGAAGGAAGTTCAAAAGAAAGGAGATATACATATGGTTGATTCATCTTGCTATACAGCAGAAACTAGCACAATATTTTAGAGCAACTATACCCCAATAAAAATTCATTGAAAAAGAAAAAATCCACTTTGTTGTAAAGTAAACTTATAAGTAAATTTTCTAGATTATTGACATTTTAAGCACCATGATGTTTAATAATATTATTCAGAATAATAATAATATTCAGAGGAATACTGAAGAAAATTAAATGCTTTTCATGAAAAAAAAAATTTTAATTCAAAAAAACTTAGTCTGTAGGAACTTGAACAGAATTTGTATCCTACTATTGTGTGAAAATTATTTAAACCTTAATTATGTTGATTGGCTCGTGGTGTTTTCAGATCTACTGTATCCTTCTACTTTTCTGTATGTTCTATTAATTTTTGAGAGTTTAATATTGAAACTCCAATTAAAAATCTTAAATTACTTACTTAAAAAATAATTGTAATATATAGTGGAGCTACATGTAACATTGTTCTGTATTTTCTGAGTCTCCTGTAACTGTGCTATTACCATATTTTCATGGTTTAAAAAATAAAGAAAGAGAAAAAATTTTTAATAAATTTGTTGATATAGTAAAATAAACTGACCATTAGAAAGAGATTAAAGAAATAGAAGAGGGGGCAAACATTGAAATGAGCATAGATATGGATATGGATGTAGATACAAATACAAATATAATTCTTCATCATACAATGAATACAGTGATCTTAGCCTAGATATTTTTTGAAAAAAACCTTGTTTGGTTGAAAGCAGTGAGGAAAGGTTTTTGGAGGTATCTAAAGCTCTTCCTGGTATACTGAGAAACGTACAAAAAGCATAATGAAATATTTTATTATGTACTTATGTAAAGTATAATAGTTATTATATATCTTATATTATTAATATCTAATTATATATTATAATTTACATATATATACTATACTTATACATATGTATAACATACATAATGTACACAAATATATTATAATGTACTTATAATATACATAAGTATATTATCCTTATGTAAAGTATAGTTAAGTATTACCTTTTTTCTAAGTATCTGTCTGCTGCCTCTGCAGATTTTGGCCATCATTAAGGCTCACGGCCCCACAGTGAGCTTGCTGCTCCATCGGGAAGACCTCTGTGAATTCGCCCTGGGCCAGGTCCCATGGCTCCTTAACCAGTACAAAGACAAAGAAGTTGACTTTCACGTCACTCAGGTGAGAGCCACATCAGAGAAACTGATTCCCACGGTTGTCCGAAAATCATCCTGAAGGATGATCATTCTCAGGAGGGGTTAAGGAACTCAAACATGTCTTGGGGCAGCTGAATTTACATACCTCCCAGGAAATATGAGGTAGAGAAGCAGTAGGCTTCTAAGACGACAGAAACTCCAGAACAGAATTCCTGTTCCAGCTGCTGGGGTACTGAACAAGGTGAAGCAGCCAGAATCACTAAAGAAAACAGGTAACCACTGGAAGGATAGGGGTATGTTCTCCTCACAACACACGATCATTTGCCTTCCACATCCTGTGCTGCCCCCCTGCAGGCAGGCTCCAACTAACCTTGAAAAGCTTTTATTCCAGAGTCTAAAACAGATACTGACCGCAGCAGTCCTTTACAATGTCAGCCTTCCGAAGGCCTTGAAGAAGGCCATCTTCATAGGTTTACTCCACCAGGTAAGAAGACCATTCTGTTAAATCTGTTTCCTTTTCACTAGTTTTCTGGGTTTCACGTCTACCCCCTTAATTTTTTTTTCTTCTCATTCAGGTGTGCAGAGTTCCAGAGCCTCCAGAAAAAGAAAACGAAATCGAAGCGTCAAACTGTTTCCTCATTCTAGGTAGGACTCAGCATCCAGTGGGCTTTTAATTAAAGTGTCTGTGAGTGGTGATGACAACAAGGATGAAGTGTAAGCAAGCTGCCACATTCATCACTTTCACACATGCCACAAAACGTTCTTTTGACTCACACTATTCTGTGTTTTTTCATACCCTACCTGTTCCGAGGAGTGCAGTAGGTGGGGTGATCGATTATCCTGATCTGCCCAGGACTGAAGGAATTCCAGGAAATTAGAGCTTTCAGTTTTAGAACCAGAAAAGTCCCAGACATATTTTGGCTATTAACTCCTTACTGGATATGTGGCTGGCAAATATTTTTCCCCATTTCATAGGTTGCCTTTTCATTTTGTTGATGGTTTCCTTTTCTGAGCAGAAGCTTTTTCATTTGATGGAATCCCACTTGTTTATTTTTGCTTATGTTACCTCTGCTTTTAGAGTCAAATGCAAAAAATCATTGCTGAGACCAGTGTCAAGAAGCTTAGTCTCTATATTTTCTTCTAGAAGATTTACAGTTTCAGGTCTTATGTTCAAGTTTTAAATTTATTTTGATTTAATTTGTGTGCATTTGTATTTTTTGAGGTAACAATCAGATTTCTTTCTTTTGTATATGACTGTTCAGTTCTCCCAGCACCATTCACTGAAGAGACTACTCTTTCTGCATTGTATATATTCCCAGGTCTTTTGTTGAAAATTAATTGACCATATATACTTGGGTTTACTTCCAAGCAAACCAGTGTGAGTTGGTAACCCTAAGGCTAGAAAATACATTTTTTCTTGGTATTTGTGATTATTAGAAACTCTGTCAAGCTAATGTTACCCTCTTTTTCTCCCCTGTCAACTCTTGGTATTTATCCCTTATCATTTTCCCCAGCCTTCACTCTCTCTTTTCTTTTTGCTTTCACATCACAATCCTGCCCATCACTATCTTAGAATCTACAGCCTGACGCAAGTTGCAGAGGAAACACCAAGGTCCCAGGGTCAGGATACAAAACTGTGTTCTAATATAGTTTCTCAGGGCAAGGGACAAGAACAATCCTGTACCTCCCACACCTGCACCCTCTCCAAAATATGTCATCTCCACTACCTCACTGCATACCTTTCTAGTATGGTCTAGTTCTCTCCTAATCAGTCCCTCTGTCTCTATACTTTCCAGTTCTCTATATGCCAGCCTAATTAACTACTTCACTTCATCATTTCCAGCCCAAACCTCTCCACTCTACTCAGACTTTTCTTCAGTTTTCTGTGCTTCCTCCCTACCCCCACCAGCTGGTGAAGTGTCACTTTGATCTCTGCCTCCATGTTCACAAGGCTTCCTTCTGTGTCTGTCTGTGTCTTCAATCCATCTCTTATAAAGACACCAGCTATATAGAATTAATACAACTTCATCTTAATTTGATTTCATCTACAAAGAACCTAATTTCCAAATAAGGTTACATTCACAGGTATGAACAGAAGTGGGCCTAACTCTCTTAGGGACCAAACTGTTAAATTCTGTATACTAAAGAAGTATGGGCCTAATAAAATCTTATTACCAACCAAAGGGTGACTTTGACAATTCTCATAGAATGATCATCTTACCATTCATAAGAATTTTACCTAAGGTGAAAATGAGTTCTTTTGACTCCAGTATTTCTTGAACCCGCAGCCCATTCAAGCCCTGCAGACCTGGTGGATTTTTTTGATGAACAAATGAGAAATAATAATGAAGCCATTCGAACAGGAATCTTGACTTTGTTAAGATTGGCTATCAGTGCTGAGGGTAAGAATAGGGATGACCCCAGAGTTGTTTCTTTTGTATTAAGAAGCAGATTGAAACCTGTGCATTGTCTAATTCTATCCTGTGTCTTTGGGAAGTTTACAGAACATCATATTCAAGTAAAGCTAGGTTTCCTTAGTTGTCTATAATCAATCTACTACTTTTAAATAGGCATTTCCAGTTACCTCTGTTCTTTCATGATATTTATGGATGCAGCCAGTAAAGGAATAGTATATTTGAGAATTGAACCTGGAATTGAAAAGAGATACTGGTTAAGTGGTCCAATAAACTGAGGGTGGATGTAAGGAATGCACAATGTTCTAAAAATTTGTTCTTTTAGAAAAAAGAATTTAATGAATTTTCATATTTCATTAATTCCAAAAACTGTTTATTTTTGCAATTTCAGAATGCATCTTATAATTGATAGCATTTTTAATTATCATTAGCCACTATAGTTTTTCACTCTTGGTGCAATATGAACTAACGATGCCTCATAAAATTGATACCTTAGATTCAATAAAATATGATCATTCATTCTTGTACAACAAAATAATAGTTTTTTTTAAAAAAATTCAATTTGCCCTGTGATTTACTGAAGAATTGACAGAAGAAACCTGAGGTGGTCTCCAAAATTTAAGGCTGATCCATTAGGTATGATGTATTGACTGCACTTAAGAATCTAACAATTTAAACAAGATTAAACAAAGTATAACAGAGAACCAAAAAAGCAGTCAACATCTACAAAGAGTTGAAAAAGGAGAAGGTAGTGGAAAGGGAAGTGAATAACGTAAAATGTTAAGGACAAGAGACTTTGCAATTATGTGCCATAACTCTAATTGGTTTTCAAAAATTCCAGAACATACTGTACTCCTACTGAAGCAGGCCTCTCAATTTCTCCCTCTGTTTTTCAGAGCCCAAGTTGAGGGATCATATCACTTCAATTGAAAAAGCAGTCAAAGTCGTCATGGGTGACCTCAGTATTAAAGTAAGAGAATTAATGAGGACTTTTATTTGGATAATGATAGCTTTAGGAGTAAATGAAATGGTTTTGACTCTTAAGGATATGCTTATGAGACTGATTTATAAAGAGCTCAGTGATCAATTCTACTTTTAAAAGAACTCCATCTTTCCCTAATAAGATAAACTCTATCAAAGTTCTGGAGCACATTCAGTTCAAGGGCTTCTCAGTAGGAAAAGAAAAAAAAAAAAGATTTTGGCCTAGAGCATGATTCTGCTATGCTAGTTAAATAGTTTAAAAATTAATTGTTAATTATAAAGATGATACTCCTTCCTCCAAAAATAATAACCCCTGAACCCTATTTTGAGCAGAGATATCCTATTTTCCAGTCAGGGAGCATCTGTAGAAAGTCTTACACGCACAAGAGATTTCTCAATAACTCCTGATTATCTGATTAAAGTATTCCATGTTGGAAAAGACAGAACTTTTATGGGAGAAATTTTTAAAATTAGCAATTATAGTATTATTTTGTATGAAAATCATATTTTATTTGGATCAAAGCCCTATGCAGAAGCCAATGAAGAGGAGAAAATTCCTCCAAGAGGCTTTGGTCACCAATAACTATGGTTAAAATAATCAAAACTATGCAATAAATAATAATGGAGTGATTATATATAAAAACCTGACCCAGTAATTGAGCAAGCCAATTGAAGCATTGCTAGGATTTAGGGTAGAATAAAAGAGGACAGAAATTTCCAGGAAAGCGCTCACTCCTTGGGCAAATATAGAGAGAAGGTTTACCTCTTTCTCCTCGGCTAGGGAGATTACAGAGTCCATGTGTGCAACCTTGTGACTGCTTCCCTGTGAAAAATTGTTTCTTCCTACCCTCCATTAAGAGACCCATTCACTAAGGAATTAAACCTGAGGTTTCTATCCTCCAGGGAAACAATCCAATAAATGAACTGAAGCCAAATTATTAAAAAATTTGTGACACAGGTTCATAACCATTTATTCAAATCCATAGGGCAAGACATTATTTCAGAATTTACCATTTTTCAGATTTGAAAAAAGCATTACTGTGATAGTAGCCCACAATCAAATCTATTAAGATTTCTTCAAGAAAATGTATGCATATTCACACTACATAGAATGGGTAAAGATGTTGGATGACATCACCGACTCAACGGACATGAGTTTGAGCAAGCTCCAGGAGATGGTGAAGGACAGGGAAGCCTGGCATGCTAGAGTCCATAGGCTCACAAAGAGTCAGACATGACTGAGCAACTGAATAACAACAAATAGCTTTAAAACAGTTCAGTTTGAGTTTCTCCACCAAGTTGGAACCAAATTTAAGAAACAAAATTCCAGTTTTCAGTGTCATTTAGAGTTTGAGTTTGTGGATAAGGAACTGTGGAACTTTATTTTGATGTGCCTGCCATCTTCCACTGAAGATTTTTAAAGTGAGGCAGTGTTTTAACCTTTTCATAGGCTAAAACAGAAAAGGAAAAGGCTTTATTTGGGAGGGGGGGGCTCCAAAATCACTGCAGATGGTGATTGCAGCCATGATATTAAAAGATGCTTGCTGCTTGGAAGAAAAGCTATGACCAACCTAGACAGCATATTAAAAAGAAGAGACATTACTTTGCCAACAAAAGTCCATCTAGTCAAAGCTATGGTTTTTCCAGCAGTCATGTATGGATGTGAAAGTTGGACTATAAAGAAAGCTGAGCCTCAAAGAACTGATACTTTTCAACTGTGGTGTTGGAGAAGACTTTTGAGAGTGCCTTGGACTGCAAGATCTAACCCGTCAATCCTAGAGGAAATCAGTCCTGAATATTCATTGGAAGAACTGATGCTGAAGCTGAAACTCCAATACTCTGGCCACTTGATGTGAAGAACTGACTCCTTGGAAAAGACCCTGATGCTGGGAAAGATTGAAGGCAGGGGGAGAAGGGGACGACAGAGAATGAGATGGTTGGATGACATCTCCGACTCAATGGACATGAGTTTGAGTAAACTCTGGGAGTTGGTGATAGACAGGGAAACCTGGCGTGCTGCAGTCCATGGAGTTGCAAAGAGTCAGAGATGATTGAGTGACTGAACTGAATTGAACTGAGTGTTTTAGCCAGGATATATCATGGGAACTAGAAAGAGAGAGTTTGGTTAAAGAGAGCTTTGCTAGTGACACTTAAATCATAACCTTATAGATTACTTCCCGCTCCAACAGGGGGTAATTGTTGTTGTTGTTTAGTTGGTCAGTCATGTCGGACTCTTTTGCAACCCCAGGAACTGTAGCCCACCAGTTTCCTCCATCCATGGGATTCCCAGGCAAGAATACTGGAATGGGTTGCCATTTCCTTCTCCAGGGGATCTTCCTGACTCAAGGATCAAACCTGGGGTCTGCTGGTTGGCAAGCAAATTCTTTACCATTGAGCCACCTTGGGAAGCCCCATCTATTACAGTAATATTCAACTTACAGGTTTTTTTTTTTTTTTAAGATTCCCACTGAATGATCCATAAAGGTTACAGAATAGGAGTATCTAAATTTCCATTCTGCCCAAAGAAATTAAATATTGTGAATGCATTTTCCCTACTCTAGGTGAGGAACTCCACCCTCCTCCTCATCCAAACCATGTGTGAAAAATGCTACATTGAAGCCCGGGAAGGCTGGCCACTGATCGACTACATCTTCACCCAGTTCTCAGTGTCCAGCAAGAATCCGGTACGAAGAGGGTGCCATCTTGAGTGCTGCTCTGCAACAAGTGCAGTTGACTCAACTGGATTTTTTAAAATACCTGCAGTTCAATTTAGTAACCGAAGTCATATTTAAGCTTTATCACTTTTATTAATAAAGTTTTCAGCATCTAGTGTTCTCAGTCCCCTTCCACTGATACCATTTCTAACTTATCATAAATGCAAAGTAGGTTAAGTCCCAGTTTTCCCTGAAGAGGAGGCAACCTGGCCTCCAAGGCTGGGGGCTGGTTTGGAGAGAGGCAGAGAAAGTGAATTTTTTCTAGAAAACAGGAAACATCCATACTTGTTACACTGGTTCCTTTGGATGAAGAGCCTGAAAAAGATGTGTCTAAGATCTCAGTGATCTTACAACCTCACTGCAAGTGAAATTGCAGTCCACTCCATAGGAAGTAGTGGAAATTTCTGTCCCAGAGAAAAATGGGGAAAGGCCTGAGTAGAAAGGGGGTAATTGAAGTTCACAATGTTTGTTTTTCTGTGAAAAAAGCCAGAGGCATTTTTGTCTCCCCATTCCTCCAAAGAGCACTTAAAAACAGGGATTAGATACTGGAGACCAAGGTCACTGGGTTCCTCAAGTCCTTTAAGTTGAGTGACTTTATCCTCCAGCCCAGAGACTAAGAACACACCCCAGGTCAGAGGAGACCAACAACAAGGATTATTAACAAGGCACCTGCTTCATCTTTCTTAAAGGAGAAACCAATAAAACCTAACTCCCAGGAGACTGAAAAGGGAGAGACATCTATCCGAGAAATAAGCCTGGAGGTCTTAAAAACCCTGGACCCACTGGTCATTGGAATGCCTCAGGTAAGGAGTCTTCTGTCACCACTCATTGTTCCTTTGATCACCTTTCTAAAGCTCTGTCTATTTAGGAGTGAAGAAGTTGGTACTCCATCTGTCATCAGCTTTTTGACACTCTGGCCAGAGAAATTATGTGAGAATATTCAAGGCCAGCAAATAATGGTTTCTTAAAAACAGGTGCTAAATTAGCTACATACTCTTTTATATCTGGAGGCAAATGGCAGTTTATAAGCATCTTAGTATATTATTTCTCTTCTTCCCCAAATGTATTTAGACATATTATCAAGTAGTAATGCAGTGAATGCTAACCTTACCCCCACTTACCTGGGAAGGTGTTAAAAGCACACTTTCTCAGACCTCAGTTGAGGTCTAAAATAACCTGAACCTCAGGAACTTTGAGATCTGCTTTTTGCTTAAGAAAAACAACCTGGGAAAGGATTTAATGGCCAGAAATATATGGCACAGCCAGAAGACAATCTACAGACCAATTTAAGTGAATCAGAGGCTTTATCTAGGATGGTATTTTAAGGTGTGATTGTAGATTACCTGCAATATTTATTTAAAATGCAGATTTCCAGGTCACATGCCAGACCTCAATGAGTCAGCATATCTGGGCATGGGGCCCATGAGTCAGCATGCAAATAAGTTCCAACATTTCTGATGCATATTAAAGTTTGGGAAATTTCTGATCTAGTAGTAAATGATGAAAAAGTAGTCTAGAGCCAGAATCATAAAGGGTCTGAAATGCTAAATTTCTACCTTGTCCTTGATGAGCCGCTGGAAATTTTAAGCAAAGGCTAAACATTTGATAACTATAGGAAGTCAGTGAATTGACATGAGTAGTCTAAGCACGGAGATTATATATAAGATGAGATAAGATTCATAGGGACTGTATTTGGGTCATAAAAGTAGGAAGGGAAATATGGAAGGGCGTGAGAAATCTTATAATGAAAGAAAGGTCTAGGCTTGGTGATTCAATGGGGTTTCCCAAGTGGCACTAGTGGTTAAAAAAAAAAAAAAAAAAACCCACCTGCCAGTGCAAGAGATGTAAGTGACTTGGATTCGATCCCTGGGCCAGGAAGCTCCCGTGGAGGAGGGCATGGCAACCCACTCCAGTATTCTTGCCAGGAGAATCCCATGGACAGAGGAGTCTGGCGGGCTACAGTCCATGGGGTCAAAAACAGTCAGACATGACTGAAGCAACTTAGCATGTCGGTGATTAAATACAGATGGCAAGACAAAGTGCAGAGTCCAAGTTGATACCTAGGTTTCCATTAGTACATGAGCCATATTCAAGTTTTCTGAGGGATGTGAAAGATGCAGACTACAGAAGTTAGCACCTGGAGCACAGACAAGCAACAACAGTCCATTCGCTATCCATTCCCAATCTTTCTCACTTTGGAGAGTTCCACTCCAGTCTTGGAGCTTGAAGACATATATGGGGCATTTTTGGTTGTCATATTGACAAGGGGCTTAATGGCACCTGGTGAGTGGAGCCTGGAGCTCCCTGCAGTGACCCACACTGAAGAGCTGTCCTGTCCCAGATTCCAGCAGCAACCCCATGGAGAAACACTGACTAACACTAATGGCAAGTAGCACCTGAAAATGAATGTGCTCAGCAGAGACTGGATTTCATGATTTCATTTTGACCTGGCCTGAAGAGCAAAATAATAACAAGTGAGAGGAAGTTTTCTAAACTAGAGGGAAACACACAGTGAGGACCAGGGTGGAATAATGGAAAAGAACAAGCAGCGCTTGCATCTTGCCTTTGTTTTCCACAGGTGCTATGGCCCAGAATCCTGACTTTCGTGGTACCTGCGGAATATACGGGAACGCTGGAATACCTGTTTAATATCATCAGGATTCTGTTTATGGCAGAGGAAAGAAAGAAGAAGAATGCCAAAGAGTCAACAGCACTTGTCATCTCTACAGGAGCTGGTTTGTACATTCAAAAACAAAGCAAAACATTTCTCTCAGGAGAGACTCGTTTCCTGAAGGGCTGCGGGGCTTCGCTGCTACACCCAACCCCAATCTGAATTTTTCTAGCCCCCATAACAGTAATGAAAATTACTTTCTCTTTCTAGTGAAACTTCCTTCACCGCAACAGCTACTGGCCAGACTTCTGGTGAGTGAGTTATGAAAAACCAAGGTGGGATCAATTTAAACCAATGCAGATATTTCCAGTTCCAAATAAATGATAGTAAAAGTGACAAAGATACTCCAAACCAAAAGAAACACTAAAACAGCATAATAAATATTCTGCTATATTAATGATACTCATGAAAATTTATTCCTGGCAAGATTATCTCCTCACTCTGAAATGTTTGTTAAAACTTTATCTATGATTTTTAAATAAGCATAAACTGAACCTGATCCGTAAGAATGATTCAAGCAAATTGCATATCTGTTGTTTAGATTTCTCTCTCTCCTTTTGGCCACATACTCCAGCTGTATCTCCACATGTATCTCCTGATTTAATTCACAGATATATCTGTTAGTACATTTCATTTACTTTCAGTTGATGCCTTCCATATACTTTTTCACCTTTATCCACAGGAAAAAATCAGACAGATGGATGTCTAAGTATTTAGCTTTGCTCTAGAATAAGTAAGAATAGACTGTGATGGTCTGTTAAAAGATTATCTAATGAAAGATTCTAGGGAATCCAGAACAATGATTAAAAGGAAAAGCTTGGTGAGCCTTTTAAATACCCCTGAGTTGATCAGTAATTTTTCTTCCATCCTCCAGGTAATATCTATGCTCGCTAGTGTGGGGAAATTGCGTGGGGCTGGTGCAATAGGACTTTTGAAGATATTGCCTGAGATAATTCACCCAAATTTAGTAGAGTTGTGGAAAACACGCATACCTGAACTTCTACAGCCTTTGGAAGGTACAAGTGCATGGGATCAGGCCTTATTCAAGGAGGCAAGAGCACGAAGAACAAGGCACCCCTTCTGTGTCTTAAGCCATGAGTGTTCATCTTAGACAATAAAAACAGTGAACTCGATATACAAAGTGGACAGCTCTGTTTTGTCCTAGATGCCTCAGGTTCTAGTTCTCTACCAAATACTTATACTGTAAGAAGGCCAAGGGGGTTATATACTTAGAAAGAACTTTTACTTGTGATCTGGTCTTTTTCTTGTATTTAGAGAAGTTTTCTTTTGGTATTATTCTGAAATGTTATTATTCATCTATGCTAGAATATTAAAATACTATCATTCAGTAAGTACTGTTGAAATTGGCAAAAAGCCTGGATTTTTATCATGAACTAGCAATTTAAGATTGCTAACATAGTAATTTTAATCTGAAATAACCATCCTGTGTAGGGAGAAAACTGAAAATGGAACACTAGCATCCAGTGGGAACCTGGCAAGGGAGAAGTACATCTTGAATTTTCCTTTTTTTTTTGCCCTTATTGCATCAATTTCTATTTCTAGGAAAGAATACTAGTATCGTGCTGTGGGAGACCATGCTGCTTCAGGTAAAGATGGCTCCCAGACCAACTGTGATGATGGGGTGATGAAACCACCTAAAATTACTCACCTTGACCAGAAAGAATTAGATTCCCAAGGGCAGGAAACAGGATTTCCTTTTCTTGAGAGAATTGTTAGACTATTAGATGTGATCATGTCAACATTGTGCTCTTTAAATGACCATAATTTGAACAACAATCTTTAGTCTTCAGTTTGGTTCAGAATTCAGGACAGTTTTGAAGATTTCACTTACTAATATTTTTCTCCCTGTTTCTTAAATCTTCTCTAATTTTCAAGTTTTCTCCTCTCCTTGCAATTGCATTCTTTCACCCTTCATATAGAGAAACAGAAATTAACATAATTTCCACTTCTTTGCTCCTAAATACAACTCGATTCGCTCCTATATCTGCTTCTCATTATCTTTTTCCTGATCTCTAAACACCAAAAGGCCACATTGCACCCCTTCTCCAGAAAAGAATCTTGCTCTTATCCATAACTTTTTGGACTTTGACAGCCAACAGTGCCACGATGTCAAATCCCATAACTGTAAGATAGGACTTGCAGATAGGACTTGGACATTAGCATTACAGACAGCACATTGGTTTTAGGAGTTCACAGGAGATCAATGAGCCCACAGTCAGGAAGCTTTTAATCCAACAGAGCTTCAGTTCTTAAACCACCTATATAAAAATAAGCTATGGCTTCCTTATTTTTTTATTGAATTTATTGATTTACTGATGTACAGCAAAGTGATTCTGTTATACATACCCATGTATATACATATACATTCTTTATTAATATTCTTTTCCATCATGGTTAATCAGAGGATATCGAACATAGTTCTCTGTGCTATACAGTAGGACCTTGTTGTCTATCCATTCTATATATAAAAGCTTATATTTGCTAATCCCAACCTCCCATTCCGTCCTTTCCCTCTCCCCATCTCCCTAGGCAACCACCAGTCTGGTCTCCATGTCCAAGAGTCTGTTTCTATTTCATAAAAATTTTCACTTGTGTTGTAGTTTAGATTTCACGTATAAGTGATACCATATGATATTTGTCTTTTTCTGACTTACTTCACTTAGTATGATAATCTCTACTTGCATCCATCTTGCTGTAAATGGCATTACTTTGTTCTTTTTAATGGCTGAGTAGTATTTCATTGTATATATGTACCACATCTTCTTTATCCATTCATGTACCTATGGACACTTAGATTGCTTCCGTGTCTTGGCTATTGTGAATAGTGCTGCTATGAACATAGAGCCGCAAGTATCTTTTTGCATTATAGCTTTGTTCAGGAGCAGGCTTACCTAGATCATATAGCAATTTTATTTTTTTATTTTCTGAGGACCCTCCATACTGTTTTCCACAGGGGCTGTACCAACTTACATTCTCACCAAGAATGTAAGAAGCTTCCCTTTTCTCCACACCCTCCCTAGCATTTGTTATTTGTAGACTTTTTAAAGATGACCATTCTAATCAGTGTGACGTAGTACCTCATTGTAGTTTGTTTTCATTTGGGGGCAGTTTTGAGGGGGTATATTTATTACCATTTATTACAGAATAGGTGTATTTTAAAAAGTAAGCTAAGCATATTTTTAATGATATTTAAATTTGTATTTTAAAAAGTACCTGTGAAATAACTTTTCAGGATTTTGATTATAAAATTTGCTAGATTTTCGTTTGTATTTTAGTTTTATTAGAGTAGAGTTGATTTACAATATTGTATTAGTTTCAGGCATACAGCAAAAGGACTCAATTATACTTATACATACGTTCATTCATTTTTAGATTATTTTCTCATGTAAGTTATCACAGAATATTGGGAAGAGTTCCCTGTGCTATACTGTAGGTCCTTGTTGGTTGTGCTAAGTCACTTCAGTAGTGTCCAACTCTTTGTGACCCTGTGGACTATATATAGCCTGCCAGGCTCTTCTGTCCGTGGGATTTTCTAGGCAAGAACACTGGAGTGGGTTGCTGTGCCCTCCTCCAGGGAATCTTCCCAGCCCAGGAATCAAACCCACATATCTTACATCTCCTGCATTGGTGAGTGGGTTCTTTACCATTAGCACCACTAGGAAGCCCCCCATGTTGGCTATCTCTCTTATATAGTAGGTGCTCTCATGTTTTCCCAAGCTCCTGATTTATCCCTCCCCTTCCCATGTTTTCTCTTTGGTAACCATAAGTTTGTTTTTTATATCAATGTTTACTTCTGTTTTATAAATAAATTCATTTGTATCTTTTTAAAAAAATTATATCTTACATAAGAGTGATATCATATGATATTTTTCTTTCTCTGACTTTACTTAGTATGATAATCTCTACATCCATCATGTTGCTACAAATGGCATTATTTCATTCCTTTTTATGGCTGGATAATATTCCACAGTATATATGTACTGTATCTTTTTTATCCATTTCTCTGTTGATGGACATTTAGAGTTGATTTGTGTTCCTCTAATAATTAGCAATGCTGAGCATCTTCATATGAACTATAATTTCTATAAAATGTCATATTTCAGTGACCTCTCCACAGCACCTCTACCCCTAACACCCCCCTTCTAGAATCAGAATCTCCAAGAGGGGGTACATGACAGCTTACAGGTCTTGGTGATGCCCACAAATGAGTCTTATCCAATATGAGGTTTGAAAGCAACAGCTCTATTCTTCCTGTTCCTTAAGTCTAGAATCTATCTTCCTCCTATATTAATGCTTCTTTTACCTCTCCCTCCCTCTATCAAAATTTCTACCTTGTTTCCCCACTGCCATTTTAAAATAACTGTTCTTACTAGGAGGGAAAGTTCCTGAAGCCTTGAGAACATTACTTTTCCTTCCTCCTATCTTGAGTACACTTCTTGGCTTCTTTTTCCAAACTGTCTCCATTTGCTTTCTTCCCTTATAATGCCAAGGTTGTACAATTTTTACTTTTCAAAAGATCCATTGAATGAATTCTTATTAAGAAAGTACATTACAAACTTTTTCAATGGTTTTGACACTGTGTTCTTTCTAAGCTTAAGGTAGAGAAAACATAAGAGAAATCATAGATTTTAGAAATTGCAATGGATTTTGTCCTCCAAAAAGACAAAAACACCTCTTCATGTATGGTTCAATGAAGAAAGACATGTGTTCAGATGACTGATTGTGGCCCTGGCTCAAAATAATTGGTGAAATGAGGAATATTTCATTACTCCAGTTGAAGCTGGCAACTTATGCTTGTACATCTAATTGGTTCTTCAAGGCCTTTAATTCACTATTCCAAAAATGTCCCTTTTTCTTAGTATATAATAAAACAAACTAACTTTGACAAATGGAGTTTTTCCAAATCTACTGAAAACTTGAAAAATGTTAACTTCAATTTAAGTTTCAGATTAGATGAGTTTCTATTGTAAGTCTTTTGGCAATTTTTATTTAAAAGGAAAACAGAAGGCTCTTACATGGAGTTAACTTCCACTTCCTATGGATCTGATTCTTACTGGAAATTTGGAACAGTACAGAGTATGTCTTCTAAAATAAGAAGAAAAGTTTCAAAGTAATGAAGTTTTTATGGGAAAAGGAATAGTCCATATAGTATACATTTTATACTTCTAGAATATATTGTAACAGAAAAGTACCAAGAAAGCACATTAAACAGTCACATTCATATCTGATTTTCACCTCCTACAACAGTTGCTCAGAGAATCGTTATGGAAGATCAATGATGTAGCCTGGACCATTCAACTGAGTCGGGATTTCAACCAGCAAATGAATAGTTACAGCAACACCTCTGTCGAGAAGGTTGGTTTTTCAACTAGAGACCGTATCTTCTAATTTATGACCAAAAATTGTGGTTCAAGTTCCAGCTGTCTGCACTGCAATGCAAAGGAGGGAGAAGTGGTTAGAAAAACGCTCCCTTCTGTTTCCCTTTATTTGACCCAAAGTCACAGGACCACAGCCTATCTGCAAGGAAAACTGCTGAGTACAGCACCTTCGAGATAAATACATGCCTGACCAAACTTTGGAAGTTCTCTTTTAGAGAAGGGGAAAAAAAAATTACTGGAGAGCAAATAGCAGCCTCTTAACCATAGCACTGGTTTAATGCCAGTTTATGTCTTGGTTTCCATTCCACTGGGCCACTCTTGTGAGTGGCTGAGGGAAATAATCTTTTTTTTTTTTTTAATTGAAAAAAAAAAAAAACCAGAGCACTCAAATTTACATTTTTACAAATTTACAAATTTTCATTCCTCTCTCTATACATGACCTCTACCAAACCCTCCACACTGTAACTGTCCATTACAAATGGAGTTTGAATCCAGCTTCCACTATTTAACTACTAATGCAGCTTTTGGTAAAATTTTTAACCTTTTCGGAGCCTCAGTATACTTACCAATAAGATGGAAATTTTTATCTCTCTCTGAGAACTATATTGTTATAAGGGTTCAATGAGATAAAATATATAAAGACCCTAGTGAAGTGTCTGGCACATGGCATGTGTTCAATAAAAAGTAGATTGTAGTGATCACTGTGGTTATATCATTTTGAAATTTTTTCCCCCTGGAAAAACATTTCCTCAGTTCTTAAGTGTTCCCAGTATTGAGTGTCTCTTCCCACAAATCCTTTATTATCAACCTACAACTCTCCTACATCATTTTCAAATCCTAAATTTTTTCCTGGAAAAAAAATTGCCTAAATCATTGTGTTCCCAGGATTAGGTATCTCTTTCCACAAATTCTTTATTAGCAACCTGCAACTCTTCTATGTAATTTTCAGAATTCAGCTCATTGATTGACTCTCTAATTTGGTACAGAGTACTGATTCTCCAAATTTGCCTACCCAGCCTGCAGACACACCCATCAGGAAGATTTGTTGAGCAGTGCCTCATCTTCTTATACACAAACAGCCTTGTGCATCTTATGTAATACCATTCATCCAATGGCTCCCAAACCCACAAGATTAGTCCAAGATAATGGTGGTGAGAGTAGACAAAACAATTCAAGCAACAAGGTGCCTCGATGTCTCTCAACTGTTGTGCCTAACACCAGAAAAGTAAGAGCGTACCAAGTAGCTTTAAAAGCATGACAAACTATCCTTAGTGGCTTAAAATAATGGGCACCTAAAAAGCTTTTGATTTTGCAGGTTGACAGTTTGGGTTGGACTCAACTGGGAAGTCTTCTGATCTCAACTAGCCTCACTGGGGTGTACTGGGGATTGGCTGGTCTGGGATGATCTTATTTAGGACAGCTTGTTTCTACTCCTCGCAGTCCCTCATCCTCCAGCAGGCTATCGGGGGCTTGCTCTCATGGTGGTGGCAATGATGTGTGCAAGATCCTTGAGGTCTAAGCTCAAAAGGGGCATACTGTCACTTCTACCACATTCCAGTGACAAAAGCAAATTGCAAGGCAAGCCCAGATGCAAAGAATGGAGAAATAGACTTGTCTTGATAGGAATCGTAAATTTCCATAGCAGGGAAGCATGGATAGAAGTGAAATAGAAAGATTATGGCTATTTTATGATCAACCACAATTTCCCCCCAATTCAGGCTTTCTGATTTCTGGGATTCCTAACTAAGTCCCCAGTGTGTGAATGCACTATTCATTTAATCTGACAAAATTCAGCAGATAAGCAGAAGTACTGGGAGGCACTAAAGCTATATTATAATATAATATATTTTCCTCCTTCATCAAATCAATATTGCTGCAGCACAAGATTTTCCCAACTCTTTCCTGCCCTTCTCCCAAGATGAAGCTAAATAGACTCCAGCAGCTTTGGCCCTACTTAGGGGATCTTTTGCCTAGACAACTGAGAATGAGTGGATGCTTCCTCATCAGATTCTTACTCTGATCAAGTCTACTCTTTCTCTGTTCCACCTGTTTTATAGCCTTATGGCCCCCTCTCATCCCAAAGCAGATAAATCTGTACAATTTCTCCTGAATGTACTAATTTGACTTTATCTGTTACTCCTAGATTTTCCATTTCTCCTGTGCCATAGATCCTTTCTGATCACTAATGATCACTCAATAGCTACAATCCTTTGAGCTCTGCAGAGTTTTTGGAGTGGACTTCCAACTGGCCACTTTTCTCTCCTTTCTGTAACAAGATGGACATTTTAAATTAAAAGATGCCAATGTGGTATTAAGTTGCAATATATACCTGCATGTTCATACACCTATTTACAGCCAGGCATGTGCTATAATTTTCAAACACAAGCTACTGCAGGGCTGTCCCATGCCCCTAGTCAATAACTCTACATGGCCTCCAGTGAAAGATGACTGGAAGCAGTGTCTGTTCTACTTGCCTTTTCTCCATCCCAACACTACAGAGGTGCCCAGCGTAGGGCTGACATAATGAACCCAACATTCTCACCACCTCTAGAGGTGGTGGAAGCCACGGAGTGATTCCTGACATGCTCTTCACCAGTGTTCCTCCATTGGGAGCTTTCCTTCCCCAATTTATTCAGTGTTCATTACTGAAGACACAATGTGTATGTGAAAGTTCTTACGTGACTTTTTTGCTTCATTCCTAACACCATTCTGACAGCACTTCTGGAGAGAGAGAATGGTAGAGAACCCACGGTATTATTTTCAAAACTACTGTTAAACCTCTTAAACTATAAACCAAGTCAACATACTGTGAAGTTTGAAAATATCAGATGACATTGCCTTCAAAATAACCCAAATTTTCATTGAGCGTGTTTATTCAATAAGCACTTATCAACACTTATTTGTACCTAGCAGATAATCAGTAAAAACCTCTGCTACCAAGAAGTGAAATTCTAAGCATAGAGACAATAAGAAAATTAAAAATCACAGTAGGTAATAAGAGGCATCACTAAGATGGCAGGGCACACAGCAGACGAAGGCAGGACACAGAAGGAGGACAGGACCTGTGGGGAGGGAACGCTCTGAAGAAGGGACAGAACATGAAAGCGCTTGATAAGTAAGCAGTCCTAAGTCAACTCAATGCCTTTTTTTTTTGAATGACTGTTTTCACTCTTTCTACTTTTTATCAGTCTTGCTTTCCAACTTTTAACATTCTGTTGCTTGTCCTTTGTTTCCCAGAAATTTCTTTGGAAAGCCTTGGGAGCCACCTTAGCATCCTGCCAAGATGTGGACTTTGTAAGCTCACAGATTAAGGAATTTCTGGCTGCTCCCCACCTCCTGGGGGACCAACGCCAGGTGGGACCACTTTCTCTCAATTTCCTCTCGTGACGGTGATAAGGAATTCCCTCTGGAAAACCTCTGGCAGTTCTCACATTAATATTTTATTTATCCAGAACTATCCATGCATACAGTCAAAACAGTCCAACAGAATTTTTTTCAGAAAAATGAGGCTTCCCTATTTATTATTATTTTTAGAGTATAATTGCTTTACAATCTGTTATTTTCTGGTGTACAACAGCATGAACCAACTATATATATACATATATACCCTCCCTCTTGAGCCTCCCTCTCACCCGCTGTTCTGCCTGGACTGAGCTCCCTGTGTTTGTTTTACAGCAGCTTCCTACTAACTATGTATTTCACACATGGTAGTGTATATTCACATGTCAATGTATATGTCATACACATTGTATGTCAATGTATATGTATGTGTCTATGTCTGTGTCTATGGCAATGCTACTATCCCAACTCATCCCACCCCGTTTCCCCCAGGGTCCACATGTCTGTTCTTTACATCTGTGTTTTCTATTTCTGTTCTGCAAATAGTTTCCTCTGTACCATTTTGCTAGATTCCAAATATATGCAATATTTGTTTTTTCTCTTTCTGACTTACTTTACTCTGTAGACAGACTCTAGGTCCATCCATGTCACCAAAATAACCCAATTTCACTGCTTTTTATGGCTGAGTAATATCCCATCATATATATGTACCACATCTTCTTTATCCATTCATCTGTTGATGGACATTTAGGTTGAGGCTTCCCTATTTAAAAATCAGTGCTTCATTATCTCATCAGATTTGTGAAAATAGTGAAAAATGAATTTCAGTCTCTCCTACTCAATAAGAGTATTTTAAAAATATTTTGGCCTTGGCTTTGTAACATAAGGGTATGTTTGTTAAGTATCGAAATCATTAAACGTGTAAGCTGAAAGTAAGGGTATGTATCATTGGTTTTCCTCCTAGAGAAAATACAAGTATAACCTGGAAAGCTTTGGCAAATAGCTTTTGCCTATTCCCTACCCTAGTCAAAGCTGGAGAGCATATGTGAATGTGGAAGAAAAAGAAAATGTCTGTTTAAGAAAAGAAACCACTCGGGAATAAAGACCAGCCAGTAAAAAATAACTTATCCTAGTCTGTCTTTTTATACGCTCTTCTCAGAAATTCTCAGGTGTTTAGGGTCCTTTCCCCATTGTAAATAGCTAGAAAACACTATACTTACTGAACTTTTAAAACTGACTTTAATTCTTGTTAGTTCTTTTTTCCATCTCAGATATTCAGCCTTCAATTATTTCCCACTGACATTATTCCTAGCACCATTATTTCCATTCTAGTTGCCCTTTTAGTTCTGCTCTGGGCTAGGAAACAACTAAGTTTATTTTAGATCCAAGCATACCATATGGCCATCATTCAAGGTCTGAGGGATTCACAAACCTTAGAAGATGTGACATCTTTGTGACATCCACTTAAGCTTCTCAAGTGCCTCTTTTACTTAACTTTGCTTAAAGTTCTTGAGTGTATCCTGCACACTCAAATCCCTTAGCAAATGGCCTCTGGGTTGGTGAGGAGTTAATGCATAACTCTCAGGTCTCACTGATCAGCTGGCCTTCCTTCTCCTAAGAGTGACTCTCTCACTCAGGTGACAGCCAGGCTCTGATTCTGGTGTCAGACCAGCTGGATTCAAATCCTGCCTCCACAACACACTGCCTGCATCCCTCAAGTTTCTCCAAATAAAATAAAGGAAAATAGACTCCTCAAAGTTCTTTTTCATAGAAAATGCTTAGTAAGGAGTTTCAGGAGAGAAGATCTGAAATGACAACTGTGAGGAACTGGAGAGAGAAAATAGATTAAAGAAGACAAATAAGATATGTATGCAGATTTGAGGGCCCCTTGGGGAGTTGAAATCATCTTATACTCCAGCAGTTTTCTCAGTGGTGTCATTTTTTTTCCCCAGCAAATGAGGTATACAGATAAGTGATAGACAAGATTGGGAGTCAGTTTTATCCAGGGCCTGGGGTTTGCCAGACTCACAGGATAGAAAGACAGTGGGACATAGGTCAGAGTTGGAAAGTTGGAGAGGGATTTAAGAAGTTAGGAAGATGGGTCAGGAGAGGAGAAACACAGAGCACTGTGGGATAAGACCCAGAGATGGAAAAACACAGAGGTTTACATCTTGGGATATAAAGGAACCAAGGAACCATGACCAAGGAACACAGAGACACCAGGCCACCAGCCTTTAAACATTTCTTCCAAGCATCTCCTGGTAGTGGAGGGTGTAAGACCTGATATCTAAGAACAGTACTGGTTGAGAGCTTGATGACAGAAGTCTAGTGCCTGGATTCTCATGCTGGTTTTAGCAGGGTTATGCAGCCAAATGAAGCAAATCAGGACTCATGAACAAACTGGCATGAAGGTACAGTGGTGAAGTGAGCCTGAAGCAAGAGAGGTGGAATGTGGGCAAGGGGAAACTATGAACACAGTGTGTGAAACAGGAGCTTTCAACATTTTAACCACCTAAGGGTGAAGTTAACCTGGGCTTCCCTGCTGGCTCAGACAGTAAAACATCCGTCTGCAACGCAGGAGAGCTGGGTTCCATCCCTGAGTCAGGAAGATCCCCTGGAGAAGGGAATGGAAACCCACTCCAGTATTCTTGCTTGGACAATCACATGGACAGAGGAACCTGGAGGGCTATAGTCCACGGGGTCACAAAGAGTTAGACAGGACTGAGCAACTAACACTTTCACTTTTCAAGGAAAAGTTTCAGTAGGAGAGTTATCCTGTAGAAATTATAGTCAACTCCAGCTCAAGAAAACCTCCACTTGCTTCCCACTGGTCTAACATTAGAAATCCAAAGTATTGAGTGTGGCCTAAAAGACCCTACTCAGACCATCCCCCACTTTCTCTCTGACCTCATCTTGCACTTCTTTGTTCCATCTGCCCTCCTTGGTGGACCTCAGGACCTTTGCACTTACTCTCTCTGTTTGGAACTCTCATTTCCAGGAAGTCCATTGGCTCACTCTCTTGCTTATTTCGGGGCTCTTCTCCACGTCACCCTTTTATTGACAACTTCTCTGGCTACTCTATTTGTATTGCCAACTCCCCCAACTTGCAGAAGCTACCGTTTTTTTTTTCTTTTCTTACAGCACTTATCACCATTTAACATACTATATATTTATATGCTTACTGGATTTACATATTCACTTTATCTCACTTCCTTGTGACTTCCCCTGGTTTTACACTCGAGAGTTTGGTGTGTTCTGTTGACTCCTATTTCTCCAGTGCCTAGAGCTCCTGATGCATCAAAATACCCTGTCTTTTCTGATTTTAGGGAATAACATCTGTCTTAGGATACTGTGCTGAGAAACACTTTGAAGTTGTCTTAAAAGTTCTTAAAACATTCCAAGATCGGGAAAAGTTTTTCATGAATCGATGTAAGGTAAAAAAAGATATCCGTCTCCTCCAAAGCCCTTGGTCATTGCAAAGGCAAGTGACACTGACTCCATCAGTGGACATCCTTTCTCCATATCACACTTGCTCTCATCCCCAGGTCTTTATATCAGGTTGGAACCATCTGAGCCCAAGCCCTGTAGAATGACCAGCTAGATAACAAGTCTCCTCCATTTCCTGTCACTCATGCTGACCTGGGAGGCCCTGAGGAGCTCTGTGTGTGTCTCGTTTTGTCCCTTTACTGGCTCCTCAGGCCTCATGGACCGTTTCCATTGCATACACTCTGCTTCCCCTAAAGAAGAGGAATAAATGAGTAAAAATGAATGCAAGCCCTCTCACAAGTACCTCTATTAAAGCCTGGTAGGTCCACCGCACCGTTTTGGGTGTTTAAATTTATATCAGCAAGTGCATCAGCTTCAGACTCATTTTACTAATCCCAGTCCCATTTCTTAACTCCCATAGTGGCCCATAAGATTAGGAAAAATCATGAGAGGAAAAGAAACTCCTTCAAGTTGTATTTTTCATGCCTCTCTTTTCTCCTCTTCAGGGTATTTTCTCTGGGAAAAAGAGCCTGAGCAAAACAGATGTCATGGTAATCTATGGAGCCGTGGCCCTCCATGCACCCAAGAGTCAACTCCTAACCAGGCTTGATCAGGACATTGTATCCCAAGTCCTGTTTCTCTACAGCCAGTGCTCTCGGGTAATAGCCAACACAGGGCTACTTCAATTTCCAAGACTGGGGTTCCCAAACATTAGAGGAGCTCAGCTCTTGGAAATCTTCATCCTCAAAGGATACAGACCAAAGGGAAGATAGGATCTGGTACATTTGGAAGATGAGAACATATTATTGTTGCTCAATCACTCAGTCATGTCCCACTCTTTGCTACCCCATAAACTGTAGCAGGCCAGCCTTCCCTGTCCTTCACCATCTCCCAGAGTTTGCTCAAACTCATGTCCATTGAGTCAATGCTGTCGTCCAAACATCTCATCCTCTGTTGTACCCTTGTCCTCTTGCCCTCAGTCTTTCCCAGCATCAGGGTCTTTCCAATGAGTCAGCTCTTCACAGCAGGTGACCAAAGTTTTGGAGCTTCAGCTTCAGCACCAGTCCTTCCAATGAATATTCAGGACTGATTTCCTTTAGGATTGACTGGTTGGATCTCCTTCCTGTCCAAGAGACTCTCAAGAGTCTTCTCCAACACCAAAATTAGAAAGCATCAATTCTTCAACTCTCAGCCTTCTTTGTGGTCCAACTCTCACATCTGTAGGTGACTATTGGAAAAACCATAGTTTTGACTATATGTCTGCAAAGTGAGAACATATGGGAAGAGAAAATTTGATTATGAAATGGAGTTTAGTGATTTGTTTCTTTTGTAAGATCTTGGGCAGAGTTCCAAAGAATAGCAAGGGGAGATAAGAAAGCCTTCCTAAGTGATCAGTGCAAAGAAATAGAGGAAAACAGGAGAAAGGGAAAGACTAGAGATGTCTTCAAGAAAATTAGAGATACCAAGAGAACATTTCATGCAAAGATGGACTCAATAAAGGACAGAAATGGTATGAACCTAACAGAAGCTGAAGATATTAAGAAGAGGTGGCAAGAATACACAGAAGAACTATACAAAAAAGATCTTCATGACCCAGATAATCACAATGGTGTGATCACTCACCTAGAGCCAGACAACCTGGAATGGGAAGTCAAGCAGGCCTTAGGAAGCATCTCTATGAACAAAGCTAGTGGAGGTGATGGAATTCCACTTGAGCTATTTCAAATCCTAAAAGATGATGGTGTGAAAGTGCTACACTCAATATGTCAGCAAATTTGGAAAACTTAGCAGTGTCCACAGGACTGGAAAGGGTCAGTTTTCATTCCAGTCCTAAAGAAAGGCAATGCCAAAGAATGCTCAAACTACTGCACGATTGCACTCATCTCATATACTAGCAAAGTAATGCTCAAAATTCTCCAAGCCAGACTTCAACAGTACATTAACCAAGAACTTCCAGATATTCAAGCTGGATTCAGAAAAGGCAGAGGAACCAGAGATCAAATTGCCAACATCTGTTGGATCTTAGAAAAAGCAAGAGAGTTTCAGAAAAAACTTCCACTTCTGCTTTATTGACTATGCCAAAGCCTTTAACTCTGTGGATTGCAACAAATTGTGGAAAGTTCTTCAAGAGATAGGAATACCAGACCACCTGATCTGCCTCCTGAGAAATCTGTTTGCAGGTCAAGAAGCAACAGTTAGAACTGGACATGGAACAGCAGACTGGTTCCAAATTTGAAAAGGAGTACGTCAAGGCTGTATATTGTCACCACGCTTATTTAACTTATATGCAGAGTACATCATGTGACATGCCAGGCTGGATGAAGCACAAGCTGGAATCAAGATTCCTAGGAAAATATCAGTTACCTCAGATATGCAGATGATACCACCTGATGGCAGAAAGTGAAGAAGAACTAAAGAGGCTCTTGACGAAAGTGAAAGAGGAGAATGAAAAAGCTGGCTTAAAACTCAACATTCAAGGTCATGGCATCTGGTCCCATCACTTCATGTCAAATAAATGGGAAAACAATGGAAACAGTGAAAGACTTTATTTTCTTGGGCTCCAAAATCACTGCAGATGGTGGCTGCAGCCATGAGATTAAAAGACATTTACTCCTTGGGATAGAAGCTATGACCAACCTAGACATCTTATTAAGAAGCAGAGACATTACTTTGCTGACAAAGGTACGTCTAGTCAAAGCTATGGTTTCTCCAATAGTCATGTACCGATGTGAGAGTCAGATTATAAAGAAAGCTGAGCACCAAAGAATTGATGCTTTTGAACTGTGGTGTTGGAGAAGACTCTTGAGAGTCCTCTGAACTTCATGATATCAAACCAGTCAATCATAAAGGAAATCAGTTCTGAATGTTCTGGAAGGACTGATGCTGAAACTGAGGCTCCAATACTTTGGTCACCTGATGCAAAGAGCCAACTCACTGGACAGGACCCTGTTGTTGGGAAAGAGTAAAGGCAAAAGGAGGAGGCAGCGGAGGATGAGATAGTTATATAGCATCATGGACTCAATGGACAAGAATTTGAGCACTCTAGGAGATGGTGTAGGACAGGAAGCCTGGTGTGCTATATTCCATGGGTCGCAAAGCATTGGACATGACTTAGTGACTGAACAACAACAATGAATCAGTCTTCAGGGATAGATCACTGAATCTGTCATTTTAGACAGATTCTAAATGTGATTCTGATGCTACACACCCAAAATTTGATAAATAATGATGAGAACTGAAAACATAGTTAAAGAAGGTATTTTATATTAAGTCCATCACTGAGTAAAGTTATGGTAAAAATAAAATAGAAAGGAGATAAAGATGTTTTAGATAAGGATCACTACACTTTAAGTAAGTCAACTCTGCTAAAATGCAACTTTTGTGCAAGAGAGAACAGGAAAAACCACAGGGATTATGGGGGAAATGAGATGAGTGGTACAATATTCAACAACCCCATTAATGATGCAGTTTAAGAAAAACAAGAATTTAATTTTCAAAAGTAATTTTAAAAACAGGAAGTACATAAATACTACTAAAAAATGATGGAAATTTTCCTTAAAAAACCCCTGAAGTCAACTGCACAATTTATGAGCTATTATGAAGTGGTGGTGGGAAGGAGGGCTGTCTGAAATCTGACAAACAGTTGTAATGCCAGATTTGGGTGAGAATAGCTCATCACACACAGTAAACAGAGGCAGCTGATGACGTTTGTGGTGTATGTGCAAGTCTTCCTCACGCTCAGTTCATCTGGTTCACCTTTTTGCCCTCACAGACAAAATTGCACATAAACAAACTCAAAATTCAGAATACGCTAAAAGTATTCCCTCATACATCAATTTCATTGTAACAAATTTGCATTTTCAATACAGGTGTTGTCACAGAACTGACTATATCTCATTTCCAAAGTCAGCTGCTGCATTAACTTTCATTTTATAAGTTTTCATTGCTCTTTCTGCCAAGAGCTTTTGTGCCCTTTTTCTTACCAAGGTCTGATAGAACCTTTTAAAATGAGAAGCCTGAAATCCAAAGGCTTGAGATCTTTGTGCTGCCTTTTGTAGTTTAGTCATGATTCATCCAGGGCAAAGAATCCACCAATATACAGGTGTTCCTTTGAAACTGAGGGAGGGAGGTAACAGCCCCCACCACTTGGAAAGGCTGAACATCCTGCCTCACTGTTGTCCTTCAGGTTGATGTGTGGGTCTTTGGTTGGGGTGAAGGCATTCTAACTGCTGCTCTAGTATCTGCCTTTCCTTCTGATTTTTTTCAGGTTCTGGGCATGTCTGTGGTGAACAAGGTAGGTGATATATTTGATATATCTGAATACCTGTGTTTGAGTATCAGTATATTTAAATACAAATTATGCTCCCTGAAAGTACAGTAAGCATAAATGTTCTCTTGATTTGATTCCACAGGAAAGAATCCCAAAATTTAATTAATTAATCCAATTCTGAAATAAGGATTCCTGAGCCTAATTTAAGACAGAACAAGGAACTGTATTTGGTTCTAGGTGGTTTGGAAGTTGACTGTAAACCAGAACAGTGTTCTTAGAACTGTGGGTTATGACCCACCAGTAGATCAGGAAATCAATTTAATATATCTAATAGATCACAACCAGCAATTTTTTGTAATAAAATAAAAGAGGAATAGAAGATAATTTTTGAGAGCTTGATATTGAAACTCCAACTAAAAATCTTAATTTTTCTACTTAAAAAATAATTGTAATATATGGCGAAACTGTATGTTACTTTGCTCTGTATTTTCCAAGTCTCCTGTAAATGTGCTATCATACTTTCATAATTTAAAAAATAAAAAGAGAGAAAAATGATTATATATAGCAATAATAAGTATCACAAAACTTTTATTTCTGTTATGTTATATATATATATATATATATATATATATATATACATCATGTATTATATACATGCATTCAGTTCAGTTCAGTCACTCAGTCTTGTCCAACTCTTTGTGACCCCATGGACTGCAGCATGCCAGGCTTTCCTGTCTATCACCAACTCCCAGAGCTTACTCAAACTCATGTCCATCCTATTGGTGATGCCATCCAACCATCTCATCCTCTGTCGTCCCCTTCTCCTCCCGCCTTCAATCTTTCCCAGCATCAGGGTCTTTTCCAATGAGTCAACTCTTCTCATGAGGTGGCCAAAGTATTGGAGCTTCAGCTTCAGCATCAGTCCTTCCAATGAATATTCAGGACTTATTTCCTTTAGGATGGACTGGTTGGATCTCCTTGCAGTTCAAGGGACTCTCAAGAGTCTTCTCCAATACTGCATTATACATGCATTATATATATATATATGTATATATATATATATATAAGTACCGAGTAGATTTGTAAACTCTTTCCTATTTTGATCCTGGTTAGAAATGTTTGAAAACCACTGTTCTAGAGAATCCTCAGTCCATGGTGGAGGCAGGGGTTGGAGAATGACCATAGTTTCTCAACTTCCCTTCAACTTGGATCTGAGACAGAGGTGAAAATGGAAAAGAAGCACAGTGTCACTGCTGTCTGGGCACATATTTCAGCCATAGGTCAAACATTTGTAGAACTGGGTGCAGTGCCTAAGACCCTGACTTGCATTGTGAGTCATTTTCCTTTAGGACATGGATCTGCAGATGAGTTTTACCAGAAGTATCACAGAGATTGGTATTGCTGTCCAGGATGCTGAGGATGAGAAGTTCAAGTTCTCCTACAAGGAGGTGCTGCTGGGTTACATGCTGGTGAGTGTGCAGGAAGGACATGGCAAGAGCCTGAGAAGTTAATTACGAAGAGTGCAAGCTGTCTTTTTTTTTTAAGTGGGTAAAACTTGCCAGTCCCTAGGAACAGAACTTTGCCATGGTTCTGCCTGAGGGCACCCAACAGTCCAATGAGGCTTCCACCTCAATACATCTAGAAACTCCCCTAGTCTTCCCTGAGACAGTTCACCACCTTGTCTGTGTTGCAGGACTTCATCAGGGATGAGCCTCTGGATTCCTTGGCCAGCCCTATTCGGTGGAAAGCCTTAATCGCCATCAGATACCTCAGGTAGAGAATTTTTTGTTTCTTCCCATTGAAAAAATAAAAATTTCCTCCCCCATATACTAATTCTGATCAACTGACATTGATCAGTGCAGACTTTAGTGCACCTTCACAAAAAGGACACAGTTCATCAATGTGTGCATTTTACCTAAGGTTGCTTCAGTCATGTCCGACTCTGTGTGACCCTATGGACTATAGGCCCCCAAGTTCCTCTGTCCATGGGACTCTCCAGGTAAGAATACTGGAGTGGGTTGCCATGCCCTCATTCAAGGTATCTTCCCAACCCAGGGATCAAACCCATGTCTCTTATGTCTTCTGCATTGGCAGGTGGGTTCTTTTACCACTAATGCCACCTGGGAAGCCCAATTCATCAATAGGTTATTTCAAATAGGAGCTTTTTCTTTTTCCAAAGTGACAGAATTGACTGAGAGCCTGGTCATTTGATGACTGACAGGGACTAGCAAGCTGCTTATAAAAGTCAGATTTATTGATATATGATGACTAAAATTGTGTGAAAATAATTTCTCTTGGCCTATAGGCAAATTTTAATCTTCCCGTTAAAAACTTATGAAAGCCTTAGTCATACCCAGGTTTGGTTAGCAGCACTATGCCTGAAGAAAATGATAATTTTAAGCACACTTTAAAAAATAATATTTTCCCCTGCAGTTAAAGAAATAGAAGTTCACTGATAAAACCTGGAAACTGCAGAGTCTTTAAAAATAGTAAAAATCATACCTAAGCCTACCCTATTATCAAAATTTTGGTATATTTTCTTCAATTCTTTATTCCTAATTGTCCATGTTGATTACAGAGCTGAGATTCTGCTCTGCATATAATTTTTATCCTGTTTTTTTTCCTCATCTTATATATTCCCATGTTATTTCCAATTCTTCACAAACATCATTCATTTTTCATTAAATTTTTTATTGTGGTAAAATATACGTTTATCATCTTAGCCATTTTTAAGTGTACAGTTCAGTAGTGTTAAGTACTTTTACATGATTGTGTAACCAATCTCCAGAAACCTTTTCATCTTTCCAAATGGAAGCTCTGTACCCATTAATCAACTCTTCATTTCCTTCTTCCATCAGCCTTGGCAACTACCGCCCTATATTCTGTCTCTGTGAATTTTATACTTTAGATGACTCATGTCACTAGCTTCATATAGTATTTGTCTTTTGATGCCTGACTTATTTTCCTTAGAATAATGTCCTCAAGGTCCAATCATGTTGTAGGGTGTATCAGAATTTCATTCCTTTTGATGGCAGAACAATATTCTGTTTGATGTGTATACTGTACTTGGTTAATCCATTCATCTATTGGACATTCATCTGTTGGGGGTTTTTCACATTTTGGCTACTGTAAATAATGCTGCTATGAACATAGGTACATAGATATTTCTTCTGGACCCTGTTTTTACTTATTTTGCATATACTCATGCATATACTCATGAGTCAGCCTGTTGGATCAGATGGCAAGCTTGTTTTTAATCTTTTGAGGAACCACCATACTGTTTTTTATAGCAGGGCACTATTTTATATTCACCAACAGTACACAAGTGTCCTAAGTTTTCCATATCCTTGCTGTCACTTTCTGATTTTTGTTTGTTTGTTTTTACAGTAGCCATCCTAATGGGTGTAAGATGGTGTCTCACTGTAACATGGAGTTGCCTTTCCCAAAGATTAATGACTTTGAGCACCTTTTTATAGGCTTATTGCCTGTTTGCATATCTTCTTGGGAAAAATATTTGATCCTTGTCCATTTTTCTCAGTTCTTTCTCTTTTTTTTTTTTTTTGAGTTGTAGTTCTTTATATTTTTATACTTTTCATATTCTTTCTATTCTAGATAAGGTTATTAACCCCTTATCACATATATGATTTGCAAATATTTTCTCTCATTCCATAGGTTGTCTTTTTACTCTATCATTTGTGCCCTTCATGAACAGAAATTTTTAATTTTGACGTAGGCCCATTTGTCTATTTGTACTTTCATTGTTTGTACTTTTAGTGTCATATCCAAGTAATCATTGCCAAATCCAATATTATTCCCCTCTGAATGGTCTTGGAATGTGTTGAAAATCATTTCACCATATGTACTAGAGTTTATTTCTGGGCTTTCTATTGTATTCCACTGGTTTGTGTGTCTGTTTGTTTATGTCAGTACTATACTGTTTTGATTACTGTGGTTTTGTAATAAGTTTTGAAAACAAAATGTGTGAGATCCCAAACTTTGTTCTTTTTCAACATAGTTTTGGGTATTTCAGGTCCCTTGAGATTCCATGTGAGTTTTAGGATGGATTTTTCTATTTCTGCAAAAAGTATCATTGGGTTTCTGATAGGAATTGCATTAAATCTGCAGACTGCTTTAGAGGGACATCTTAACAACAATAAGTATTGCAATCTAAATATGAAACACCTTTCCCTTCATTTGTGTCTTCTTAACTTCCTTCAGCATCATTTTGTGGTTTTTTTGTGTACAAGCCTTGCACTTTCTTGGTTAAGTTTATTTCTAAGTATTTTATTCTTTTGATGCTATTGTAAATGGAATTGCTAACTCCTTTTTTGATGGTTCATTGTTTTAAGTGTATAAAAATGGAAGTGATTTTTGTGTGCTGATTTTGTATTCTGCAACTTTAAAGAATTTGTTTATTAGTTATAAAATTTTTGTAGATGTTTTAGGATTCTCTATATATAAGATCATGTCATCTGCAGACAGAGATAATTTTACTTTACCTTTCCCGTCTGGATGGCTTTTATTTATTTTTTTTATCTATTGCTCTGGCTGGGACTTGCAGTATTATGTTAAATAGAAATAGCATCTTTGTCATGTTCCTGATCTTAGAGGGTAAGTTTTCAGTCTTTCACCATTGAGCATGATGTTAGCTTATATGGTTTTCATATATGGCCTTTATTATGTTGAGGTAACAAATATTTTAATCACTGCTTCATATCTTGATGCATAGATATGCCTCATATTGTTACTTTCAATTATTAATCAACCTTCTATTGCTACATTTAACTATTTCTTGTTTTTAAAACCTGTAAGTAATACTTTGATGAACATCCTCATGCAAAGAAATGTTCTCTGAACATCTAATTATAAAAGCTGACAATTTGGTTCAGTAAATATTATTGAGTTGCCTCCATGTATCAGACATTGAGCTAGGTTCTAAATGGACAATGTTGAACAAAATATGACCTTTCTCTGAAGGAGTTTTAGCCAACAAAGGGAAATGAATTCAAAACACATCCACATAATTTTTCTAAAATTCAGTAAGAAGCAAAATAAGGGAAAGGCACAAGTTCCCATATTTATAAAGATAAGGGAGGTTTCGAGAAAGTGCAAAGAAATCTTGAAGATGAATTAAGAATTAACCAGGTTCCAGAACAGCATTGTTGAGTAGAAATAAGTATAATACAAGTCACATTTATTGTTTGAAATTTTCTAGTAGCCACTATTAAATATGTAAAAAAGAAACATTAAATCAATTTTAATAATTATTTTGATCTAATATATCCAGTATATTACTTCAACATGTATTTAAAATAAAGAATTAATAAGATGATTTACATGATTTTCATACTACATCTTCAAAATCCAGCGCATTTTACAATTACAGTGCATTTTAAATCAAACCAGCAACAACTCAAGAGTTCAATAGCCACATGTAACTAACAGCTTCCCTCATATGGACAGGACACCTGTAGAACTTGAAGACTAATGATAGAAAGCAAATCAGTGGTTACCTTGGGCCAGGGTGGAGGAACAGATGAACTGCAAAGATGCATCAGGAAAAATTGGGGACTGATAGCAATGTTCTATATTGATTACAGTGGTAGTTTCAAGAGTGTGAAATTTATTTGATTGCACACTTTAAGTGGATGCAGCTTGTTGTGCATAAATTATGCCTCAATAAGTGGATATTTTTACATAGCCAGCCAGACAATAAGGATGAGAAGATTGCACACTATATATCAACACATTTAATAGCCAATAAAGCTGTCACAGCTTTATTGACTTTAACTCCTCTGTGAAAGTGAAAGTGAAAACCTGTCAGTCGTGTCAGACTCTTTGCAACCCCATGGACTGTAGTCCATGGACTTCTCCAGGCCAGAATACTGGAGTGGGTAGCCCTTCCCTTGTCCAGGGGATCTTCCCAAATCAGAGATCAAACCCAGGTCTCCCGCATTGCAAGCAGATTCTTTACCAGCTGAGCCATACAGAGAACCAATTTCACCCTTCTCTGACAGTGTCCTCATTTTTTATTTCTTTGCTAATTTTGTTGTGGAGAAACAGTGTTGTATTGTCTTAACTTACATTTATTTAATAACAAATGGAGTTTTTCATATTTATTGAATACTTACATTTTCCTAAGTTATGTCCAGGTTTCTTTATATCCTCGGGGTGTCTATACTATATGTCAGATAGTGAGAAAGGAAAAGGAAGTTTCCAGTGTCATTTACTCATGTGTTTATAGGTGGTGGTTTAGTCACTAAGTTGTGTTCCATTCTTGCAACTACATGGGGAGTAGCCACCAGACTCCTCTGTCCATGGGATTTCCCATGAAAGAATTGTGGAGGGGGTTGCTCTTTCCTTCTCCAGGAGATCTTCCCCACCCAGGGATCAAACCTGTGTCTCCAGCATTGCAGGCGGATTCTTTCCAGACTGAGTGACCAGGGACTACATATGACATGAGAGGACATATGAAATTGATAAAACTCACTGCTCCAAACTTAGAATCTCTCTTCTCTCTCTCAATCACAAACACACACACACACACACACACACACACATATATACTCATAACTTGAGTGCTGAACAAAACAAGTAGATAAATGCTAGATCATATAATAAAGGGTTAAGTAATGCCAAGCAAGTGATGGTTTGTTTATCATTGTAATAAATTAGACCTACAGTCTGGTTTTATGTCCCAAATCTCTCTCTACTCCTGTTACCATCTCCTTCAACACTGCATTCCCATCAGAAATGCATCTGACCCCTTCAAGCCCCTTCAGATCCTCAGTTCTCGGGAACTCAACTGAGGTATGTGTTGTTTGGTGATATAATATCCACTCCTTCAATTGGTTCTCATTTCAGTAAACTGAAACCTCAACTCTCACTGAATGAACATCTTAATATTCTTGAGGAGAATATTCGAAGGCTGCTGCCCCTTCCACCTCTGGAAAAACTCAAAAATGAGGGTGAGACGGACAAAGACAAGGAGCACATCCAAGTATGTGGGGGCAAAGCTGGAGGAGGGCGAAGAGCCAGGTAGAATGAATGAACTTGAATGAACACGCTGCCCTCGGCCTCACTCACACTCATTTCAATTTCAGTTTCTCTATGAACGATCCATGGACGCTCTCGGAAAGCTGCTGAAGACCATGATGTGGGATAGCATGAAAGCAGAGGACTGCCAAGAAATGTTTAACGTGAGTAGGTCCCATGGACCATAACCTGTGCTCCAGGGCACCCCCCAAACTCAGCCTCGTCCAGGGGACTCGTCCAGCCTGACCCACCAGCCCCCGACCAATACCACAGAGCCAGCCCACTTACACAGTGTTTGTGGGGAAGGCAGCACCATATTTCAGAAGAGGCAGAGTGAGAGTGAGAGAACAAGAGCGGATGAATATGAAGGTTACTAAGGAAAGGAGATCAATATTTCCAATATGCTACCGGAGATCAGTGGAGAAATAACTCCAGAAAGAATGAAGGGATGGAGCCAAAGCAAAAACAACACCCAATTGTGGATGCGACTGGTGATAGAAGCAAGATCCGATGCTGTAAAGAACAATAGTGCATAGGAACCTGGAATATTAGATCCAAAATCAAGGCAAACGAAGTGGTCAAGGAGGAGATGGCAAGAGTGAACGTTGATGTTCTAGGAATCAGCGAACTAAAATGGACTGGAATGGGTGAATTTAACTCAGATGACCATTATATCAACTACTGTGGGCAAGAATTCCTTAGAAGAATTGGAGTAGCCATCATAGTCAACAAAAGAGTCCAAAATGCAGTACTTGGATACAATCTCAAAAATGACAGAATGATCTCTGTTCATTTCCAAGGTAAACCATTCAATATCACACTAATCCAAGTCTATGCCCCAACCAGTAACACTGAAGAAGCTGAAGCTGAACAGTTCTATGAAGACCTACAGGACCTTTTAGAACTAACATCCCAAAAAGATGTCTTTTTCATTATAGTGGACTGGAATGCAAAAGTAGGAAGTCAAGAAACACCTGGAGTAACAGGCAAATTTGGCCTTGGAGTACGGAATGAAGCAGGACAAAGGCTAATAGAGTTTTGCCAAGAGAACGCATTGGTCATAGCAAACACCCTCTTTCAACAACACAATAGAAGACTCTACACATGGACATCACCAGATGGCCAACACTGAAATCAGACTGATTATATTCTTTGCAGCCAAAGATGGAGAAGCTCATACAGTCAGCAAAAACGAGACCGGGAGCTGACTGTGGCTCAGATCATTAACTCCTTATTGACAAATTCAGACGTAAATTTAAGAAAGTGGGGAAAACCACTAAACCATTCAGGTATGACCTAAATCAAATCCCTTATGGTTATACAGTAGAAGTGAGAAATAGATTTAAGGGACTAGATCTGATAGACAAGTGCCTGATGAACTATGGATGGAGGTTCGTGACATTGTACAAGAAACAGGTATCAAGACCACTCCCAAGAAAAAGAAATGTAAAAAAGCAAAATGGTTGTCTGAGGAAGCCTTACCAATAGCTGTGAAAAGAAGAGAAGCAAAAAGCAAAGGAGAAAAGGAAAGATATACCCATTTGGATGCAGAGTTCCAAAGAATAGTGAGGAGAGATAAGAAAGCCTTCCTCAGCAAACAATGCAAAGAAATAGAGGAAAACAATAGAATGGGAAAGACTAGAGATCCTTCAAAAAAATTAGAGATACCAAGGGAACATTTCATGCAAAGATAGGCTCAATAAAGGACAGAAATGGTATGAACCTAACAGAAGAAGCTGAAGATATTAAGAAGAGGTGGCAAGAATATACAGAAGAACTGTACAAAAAAGATCTTTATGACCCAGATAATCATGATGGTGTGATCACTCACCTAGAGCCAGACATCCTGGAATGGGAAGTCAAGTAGGCCTTAGGAAGCATCTCTATGAACAAAGCTAGTGGAGGTGATGGAATCCCAGTTGAGCTATTTCAAATCCTAAAAGATGATGGTGTGAAAGTGCTACACTCAATATGCCAGCAAATTTGGAAAACTTAGCAGTGTCCACAGGACTGGAAAAGGTCAGTCTTCATTCCAATCCCAAAGAAAGGAAATGCCAAAGAATGCTCAAACTACCGCACAATTGCACTTACCTCACATGCTAGTAAAGTAATGCTCAAAGTTCTCCAAGCCAGGCTTTAGCAATATATGAACTTCCAGATGTTCAAGCTGGTTTTAGAAAAGGCAGAGGAACCAGAGATCAAATTGCCAACATCCGCTGGATCATCAAAAAAGCAAGAGAGTTCCAGAAAAATATCTATTTCTGCTTTATTGACTAAGCCAAAGCTTTCAACTGTGTGGATCACAATAAACTGTGGAAAATTCTGAAAGAGATGGGAATACCAGACCACCTGACCTGCCTCTTGAGAAACCTGTATGTAGGTCAGGAAGCAACAGTTAGAACTGGACATGGAACAACAGACTGGTTCCAAATAGGAAAAGGAGTATGTCAAGGCTGTATATGGTCACCCTGTTTATTTAACTTATTTGCAGAGTACATCATGAGAAATGCTGGACTGGATGAAACACAAGCTGGAATCAAGATTGCTGGGAGAAATATCAATAACCTCAGATATGCAGATGACACCACCCTTATGGCAGAAAGCAAAGAGGAACTAAAGAGCCTCTTAATGAAAGTGAAAGAGGAGAGTGAAAAAATTGACTTAAAGCTCAACATTCAGAAAACTAAGATCATGGTTCTGGTCCCATCACTTCATGGCAAATAGATGGGGAAACAGTAGAAACAGTGGCTGACTTTATTTTTGGGGGCTCCAAAATCACTGCAGATGGTGATTGCAGCCATGAAATTAAAAGATGCTTACTCCTTGGAAGGAAAGTTATGACCAACCTATACAGCATATTAAAAAGCAGAGACATTACTTTGCCAACAAAGGTCCATCTTGTCAAAGCTATGGTTTTTCCAGTAGTCATGTATGGATGTGAGAGTTGGACTATAAAGAAAGCTGAGCACAGAAGAATTGATGCTTTTGAACTGTGGTGTTGAAGAAGACTCTTGAGGGTCCCTTGCACTGCAAGGAGATCCAACCAGTCCATCCTAAAGGAGATCAGTCCTGGGTGTTCATTGGAAAGTCTGATGTTGAAGCTGAAACTCCAATATTTTGGCCACCTGATGCGATCAGCTGACTCATTTGAAAAGACACTGATGCTTGGAAAGATTGAGGGTAGGAGGAAAAGGGAACAACAGAGGATGAGATGGTTGGATATTATCACCGACTCAATGGACATGAGTTTGGGTAGGCTTCAGGAGTTGGTGATGGACAGGGAGGCCTGGCATGCTGCAGTTCATGGGGTTGCAAAGAGTTGGACACAACTGAGCAACTAAACTGAACTGAACTTTTACTCTTTGACCAACAGCTTCTCCGAATGTGGCTTGTCTCACAAAAAGACTGGGAAAGAGAGAGAGCCTTCCAGATCACCTCGAAAGTGCTGACAAATGATGTCAAGGTGAGTAAGCCCCTGGAATGGGTGGATGTCATTGCTTGCTAACAGCAAGGACCTCGGAGGCCGCTGGAATCCAAAACTCCTGTGTGATGGATCTCCCGTCCAGGCAGAGTTTTCCCAGAGAACCACCTGAGGTCTGCCCCACCCCACAGCACTGTGAGGACAAGCACGGGGCGGCTGAGGGGTTGTGGGGGGTGGGGTGTGGGGATTGGGTGGAGGGGAGTGAAGTGATTCAGTTGTCTTTGCTTGCCTGTCCGCTTGGAAAGTCCGAGATTCCATTTTATTCTAAGGATCTGCATGGAGAAAACAAGGAGTTAATATCCAGTGTCGGGACTATCCCAGAACATCATCAAGCCACCCCATCACCTCGGGATCCTCCTTTATCCTGCAGGCACCAGAGAATTTTAAGATCGGCTCACTCCTCGGCCTCCTGGCTCCTCACTCCTGTGACACCCTGCCCTCCATCCGCCAGGCTGCTGCTAGTTCGGCTGTTGGTCTGTTCTGTATAAAAGGTGAGGGAAGGATGGGAACCTCACAGATGCAGAGAAGATACCTGTTTTCATTTTTATCAGCTTTTCTCTTTGTATATCTCTGTCTCTCTCCTTCCTCTCTTTCTCTCTTTCTTTCTTCTCCTTTAGTTCAGTCATTTCTGAGTGATGTCACACAATTTCTCTCTCTCTCTTAGATCTTTTTTCTTCAGTGGCTCTGCTTTTTGGTTTTTTTTAAAAAATAAAGATAATAGCACCAAAGCATCATAAAGATCCATTAAAACAGGTAAAATGTTTTGAGAGTGTCTGATTTAAATCACACACCAATTGGGCATATTAGCAAAGCTTTTTCTACCACACAGTTTTCTTTCAGAGGAAATCATACTATTATCCTGGTGCTAAGTGAATTTCAGAGTTCTCTAAGAGAGAGAACTTTGTGGAGGTTTTTGTAGCTTGCATAGCAGGACCTATGCCTGCTCTGCCGGGATGTGTGAATAACTATCAATGTTGGGAAATAGAAGGAATTTTAAAACCTCTGTATCAGGCTGAAACCAACACTCAGGGCTTCCTGATTAAATCGGGATCGGGATGGGGAATACATGTAAATCCATGGCTGATTCATGTCAATGTATGACAAAAACCACTACAATATTGTAAAGTAATTAGCCTCCAACTAATAAAAATAAATGGAAAAAAAAATCCAGACTAAATCAGCACGTGTTTTGCCAAGGTGGAACCTGCCTTGCGTACAGTTCCCTCCAGACCAGGTACAGCCTGGATCCCTCAGCCAGGTTGACGGCCACTCATGCCTACACTAGACTCTTCGTTTTTTTAGGTGTAGCATTAAGAGTCTAGATTGACGGGAGAAATATTAATAACCTCAGATATGCAGATGACACCACCCTTATGGCAGAGAGCGAAGAGGAACTAAGCCTCTTGATGAAGGTGAAAGAGGTGGTTTAGCCACTAAGTTGTGTCCGACTCTTTCGACCCCATGGACTATAGCCCGCCAGGCTCCTCTATCCAAGGAAGTCTCCAGGCAAGAATACTGGAGTGGGTAGCCTATCCCTTCTCCAGGGGATCATCTCAACCCAGGAATCAAACCCTGGCATCCTGCATTGCAGACAGATTCTTCACTAACGAGCTACAGAGGAAGACCCTAGGGAAATATTTGAGGGCCTTTTTCTGTGTCAGGCACTGTTCTGATGCTGGAACACAAAGATATAACAATTCTAAATTTGCATGCTAAAAGTGTATAAAAGACAGAAGGTGCGATTTGATTAAGGGCAGATGATAGAGTCAGTCAATAGGGGAAAACTATTCAGCAGAACCTGAATAGATCTGACAGTGCCTTGGGATTTGGGAAGATAATTTATGAAGGGTGTATGATTTTATCAAAGCCAGAAAACAAATGAATTAAGGGGTGAGAATTAAAGGACCATTCTAATAAGACAAGAAATGTACCACAAAAGGACCTCATAGGAAGAAAGGAATTCTGTTATTGTTCTTCCTGGTCTTCCTTTGTTGTTGTTCATGTCCGACTCTTTGTGACCCCATGGCCTACAGCATGCCAGGCTTCCCTGTCTTTCATCATCTTCTGGAGCTTGCTCAAACTCAACTGAGTTGGTGATATCATCCAACCATCTCGTCCTCTGTCATCCTCTTCTCCTCCTGCCTTCAATCTTTCCCAGCATCAGGGTCTTTTCCACTGAGTCAGCTCTTTGCATCAGGTGGCCAAATTATTGGAGCTTCAGCTTCAGCATCAGTCCTTGCAGTGAATATTCAGGATTGATTTCCTTTAGGATTGACTGGCGTGATCTCTTTGCAGTCCAAGGGATTCTCAAGAGTCTTCAACACCACAGTTCAAAAGCATCAATTCTTCGACGATCAGTCTTCTTTATGGTCCAACTCTCATATCCATACATGACTACTGGAAAAGCCATAGTTTTCACCATATGGACCATTGTCAGCAAAGCAATGCCTATTTTTTAATATGCTGTCTAGATTTGCCACAGCTTTTCTTCCAAGGAGCAAGTGTCTTTTAATATCATGGCTGCAGTCACCATCTGCAGTGATTTTGGAGTCCAAGAAAATAAAGTCTCTCACTGTTTCTATTATTTCCCCATCTATTTGCCATGAACTAAGGGGACTAGATGCCATGATCTTAGTTTTCTGAATGTTGAGCTTTAAGCCAATTTTTTCACTCTCCTCTTTCACTTTCATCAAGAGGCTTTTTAGTTCATCTTCACTTTCTGCCATAAGGGTGTCATCTGCATATCTGAGGTTATTGATATTTCTCCCGGCAATCTTCATTCCAGCTTGTGCTTCATCCAGCCCAGTGTTTCTCATGATGTACTCTGCAAATAAGTTAAATAAGCAGGGTGACAATATACAGCCTTGACATACTCATTTTCCTAATTGGAACCAGTCTGTTGTTCCATGTCCAGTTCTAACTGTTGCTTCTTGACCTGCATGCAGGTTTCTCAGGGGGCAGGTTGGGTGGTTTGGTATTCCCATCTCTTTAAGAAATTTCCACAGTTTGTGGTGATCCACATAGTCAAAGGCTTTGGCATAGTCAATGAAGCACTAGATGTTTTTCTGGAATTCTCTTGCTTTTTCTATGATCCAACAGATGTTGGCAATTTGTCTTTGATTCCTCTGCTTTTTCTTAATCCAGCTTGAATATCTGGAGCTTCTCAATTCATGTGCTGTTGAAGCCTAGCTTGGAGAATTTTGAGCATTACTTTGCCAGCGTGTGAGATAACTGTGCAGTAGTTCAAGCATTCTTTGGCATTGCCTTTCTTTGGGATTGGAATGAAAACTGACCTTTTCCAGTCCTGTGGCCACTGCTGAGTTTTCCAAATTTGCTGGCATATTGAATGCAGCACTTTCACACCATCATCTTTAGGGATTTGAAATAGCTCAACTGGAATTCCATCACCTCCACTAACTTTGTTTGTAGTGATGCTTCCTAAGGCCCACTTGACTTTGCACTCCAAGATGTCTGGCTCTAGGTGAGTGATCACACCATCGTGGTTATCCAGGTCATGAAGATTTTTTTTTTGTATAGTTCTTCTGTGTATTCTTGCCAGTTCTTCTTAATATCTTCTGCTCCTATTAGGTCCATGCCATTTCTGTCCTTTATTGAGCCTCTATTTCTCTGCATTGTTCACTTAGGAAGACTTTCTTATCTCTCCTTGCTATTCTTTGGAACTCTGAATTCAGATAGTTTTATCTTTCTTTTTCTCCTTTGCCTTTTGTTTCTCTTCTTTTCTCAACTATTTTAAGGCCTCCCAGACAATCATTTAGCCTTTTTGCATTTCTTTTGCTTGGAGTGATTTTGATCACTGTCTCCCATACAATGTTAGGAACCTCTGTCCATAGCTCTTTAGGGGCTCTATCAGATCTATATTTCTCCCTTTAGGTTCCTTTATTTTCCTGAAACATACAAAGTTCCAAGTTCTTAAATATTCTTTGTTAGCAGGAAATACCATACTTCATTATTCATGTTAACTCTTTTTCCTGGTTGATCAAATAAACATGGTAGAGAGAGAGAGAAAGAATATGATCATTAAATTAAATATACTCGATACAAGTAACTAGTGTTTTACTGAAATAAATGCCCACTTAATATTTGTGGATGTTGTTCAGCCCATTGTTAATGCAGATAATAGACCAGAAATCGAGAAATTTACCAGTTGCTTGGACAACTGAAAGGAGTGAAGCTGGACTTTGAGCCCAGGTCCTCCACTCATGAGGCTAAGCTACCTCCCAGAGAATGATTCAGGTGTGTTCCCACCAATTACTAACTCCAAACAACAAACAGAAAATCATTACCATTGAGGTCTGCATTGCAAGTCCATATCAACAATCACACAATTGCAATGATTACAATGGTTACCTTACCATTCCCTTCAACAGAAGCTCACTGCAGAATAGAACTCCACCAGAGCCAGCAGTAGAGCAGAGTAGCAAGAGCCTCGGCAGTGGTGTCAGACCAGCGTTCAAGTTCCAACCCTCTATTTTCACTCCCTGCATGACCTGGCCAAATGACTTTACATCTCTCTGTGTCAGTTTTCTCAACTGCAAATAACCTCAGATGATCTCTAGGAGTAATAAATGAGATGAGAGTATTTAGCATGCTTTCAGCATGCAGAAACTTCTCAATCAGTGTCTGCTCTTATGCTCATCAGAGAGGCTTTCATGTGTTTGTTAAAGGCATCCAGCAGCTGAATTAGTGTCACATCAAAATATAAACCATCTCTTCAACCCCTTTCAGCTCTTTGAACTCTGATGTCACCCTTTGTTGATTGTAGGTGTTCACCTGGAAGTAGAAAGACTACAGGATTTGCAGGAAGGGCTGCAATGTGATGATGTGCAGGTCCAGATCAAGATTTCCTCCAAAATAGCAAAGGTAATAGATGTGGAGAACTGATCAAGGGACATAAGGATGATTCTGGGTTGATTTTCAAATGAGTCAGCTGTATATGCTCCTCTACCAAGGAGGGCAAACAGTCTAGTCATTCTAGTGAAATAAAAGACTTTTGTCCATTCATTATATCTGGGTCCATGTATATAGGCAACACCTGCTAATCTCATTTCAAACTCTGCGAAACCTAGGGAACCATGCAGCTCTCTCGAGGTGAAGGAGGCAGTAGGGTAAAATGGGAGAAATGGGCATTGGAGTCAGTCAGATGTATTCTGTGTGTACCCCTTGAAGTGTGCGCACTATGTGATCCACTTCCTCATCTTAAAAAAATGCATAACCTCCCTCTCAGAGCTGCTATGAGAATTGGTCAATCAATTCATTCATTTATTCAGTCACTTATTCATTCACCACATGTGCCCTGTGCATCTACCATGTGCCAGGCTATTTTCCAGGATCTTAGAATAGAAATGCATGCCATCATTGAGTTTATGTCCTAGTGGATGGAGCAGTGAAATAAATCTGATGTCAGGTAGTGATAAGTGAGAAACACAAAGTCAAGGAAGGGAATAAAGAGTAAGGTGGGGGCAGATCCCCTGGGGATCACAACTCTGAAAAAGAGAACCACCCAGATATCTGGCAAGAACATTCCAGGCAAAGCAGGGAACAGTATGTGCAAAGGCCCTGAGGTGGAGAAAGAAGTGGGTCATGAGATCCAAGAGATAGCCCACAGCTGATTGAAATGCCTTCCAGGCCTTATTAAGAACCTTGGTTTCACTCTAATAAAAATAAAAAACCAGCAGAAGGATTTGAACAGAAGAGTCAAAACCACTACATACAATGTGGCAGGTGTGAAATGTACAACTTGTGTGAGACAGCATTATTCCTCATGCAGACACTATGGATTTATATGTATACTATGGTAATTACCCACTGAGGGCAGTAAACAACAAAATTGGCCATTAGGACAATAACAGAGAAAAGGGTATTTTCTTGAGAACAAAGCATTTTTCCTAATTTGCAAAACTCCATATGGGCTAGTGGTGGTTCTGTGAGGAAGAATCTGATACAACTTTGTTTCTGAAGGGTCACCTGGCTGCCATGTTGAAACTAGACATAGGCTGGCAAGAGTGAAACTAGTGAGGTCAGTTTGGAGGAAACTTTTAAGAATCCACATTCAAGCTCAGGTGGCTCGGACTAAGGAGGCGGCAGCAGGGACAAGAAAGTGATGAGTATACAGGAGAGAAACTCGTGGGGGCACAGGGAGAGAAAACAGGTCCGGTGCCTAAGACAGTGTCTGATGCACGAGAAGTGTCAAAAACATGACTGCCCTTCCTTCCTTTATTCCTAAGCCAATATCGTCCCAATATGAGAAAGAAAAAAACACAACTGTGGATCTTGGACCCAGGCAGACATTTGGTGCTCCGTAGAACAGACACATGAGTCTAGGCCTTGATCTTAGAGCCATGGTAACTCAGAATCCAGCTACTCATGAAAAGGAATCCATGTCCTCTCAAAGATTGTTCTACCACACATCACTGGGCCATTTAATACAGAGGGAATTCAGTTGTGAATAGGAATATTTTCATACCCACAAACTCATAACCATGACCTTCTTGTTTGCTTAAAACCCCAGATATTGCTTCTGGAATTTATTCAGACTGCTAACTTTTCACCTCCCCTGCCTGCCTTTTCATTCACACATACACAGAGACATATACAATCAAACATTCTATATAATTATTGTCTAGAGACAAAAATTGCAAAGTCTTATTTTCTTGACCTTTTGTTGACTACTCAATATTGAAACACACAAAAGCAAAAGACAGGGTTCATCTTAATTCACCCTCCATTTGGATACTGTGAGGCACAGGCTATTTAGCCAGGCACTTAGTACTTGGTGATAGATTTCCTGAATCCTCAAGCCTAGCTACTAGCTACTCTTTGGCAGACACAAGACATTTCTATGATAGATGAAATGTATATGAAAGTACTTGACAACATTTAAATTGCCATTTATGCATTATTTTTCCTTTATGGGGCATATTGTAAATTTAGGTTTGGAGAGGAAGTTGCCTTGGAAGACCTAGAATTTAATAAATATGAAATGATTTTTAAAAAGCAACTTCAAGGAAAGTTTTACTTAGACTGAAAGGACGTGTCTATGTCCTATTTTAGTATTTTCTCTAGTTTCTGTGACCTCAATCATACGCTAGCTCTTTGGAAATTCCAGTGGTTCCTAATATCCTAAAACAAAGGACAGCATGTTTTGGGTGTCCAGATAGGAAATGAGGGGCTTGGTTACATGAGTCTTTCTGGGTCCAGATATGAAGTGAGGGGTTGGTGACATGAGTCTTTCTGGGTCCAGATATGAAGTGAGGGGTTGGTGACATGAGTCTTTCTGGGTCCAGATATGAAGTGAGGGGTTAATGACATGAGTCTTTCTGGGTCCGTTCTCAGATTGTCAGTAAACTCATCCCCAGTGAAGAAATGCTCATGTTCCTGGAGGAAACCCTGGATGGTCTGGAGAGCCTCAACCCCCCATGTACAAAGGCCGGTGGCGTCTGGATGATCACCGCCCTAAAGGAACAGGGAGCTACTTTGGAAGACCAGGTGAACTGACAGCCAGTCTGACAACTACTGAGCACGATTTTAGCACTTCTGAAATGCTAGTACCAGAAGCAGGCCATCACTGCTCAGCTGGTCCTCTGATGAGTCACAGGCAAGAGCATACACAGCCTCAGGAGGCCTCAGCAGAGACCCAAGTTGTGTATGAGCAACCAGGCTCAGGCGGAGGGCCCATCTCAGCCTGACTCAATTGCCTCTCTAGTCTGTGATGATGAGCACTTTCCAAACTGCCACTCTGGCCAGAGGAAGAATATCTGAACCAGAAGCATGTGGGGTGTGGAAAACTGGGTTGTAAGATCTGCAAGCATAAGACTGATCTTGTGAAACTTTGAGATGGCCACTGAGGGCCAGGCGGGTTTTCTAACTCACTGCCACCCTGTGAGCTGCTCTTTAACACCCTTTAGGTATTTTCTGATAAAGAAGGTGATCCTCGAAGAATTGACTAAAAGAAAAGTCCTCAATCCTTCCTCCCAACTAGAGAATTAAGCAGAAAGAATTGGATTTAAATTCAGGAAGTCTGGTTAAGAGCTTCAAATGGATATGCTGTCTTCTCTCTCCTAAAGTCAGAATCAAAATATTAGCAATTCAGAGATCAATGATGAGAAAAAGAATTTTTAATGCAGAAAGGCTTCCTTCCCAAAGGTAACAGGAGGAAGAAGTCATGGTCCCCAGAGCCCGGAGTTAATCATCCTAAATTAAAGAATTCTCCAAAGCCTAACTTTTACAAATGACCTCTGTTCTAATTACTGTCCAATCATTTGTCTGTTTGTTTTCAAAAACATTTATTGAGTCTATACTCTGTGGCAGGCCCTAGGCCAGTCTTGGGAGAATGAAAAGTTAATAAATTTAGAATATCCATGTGTTTGTGTGTTAAACATAAAAGGGGAAGTTGTTCACATGCTAGGTAAAGGCTAGGGACCTAAATGTTTTCCAAGAATCACTAGTATGGGACTATGTGATAATCAGGCTTGCAGGATAGTTATGATTAAGGAATTACAATTCCATGAAAAATGTTATATTTAACCTAAAAATGTCTATCCAAAGTAAACAAGAGAAATATCTACTGGATGCAAAGTTGCTTTAGCATAGAGACATGTCCTAATCCATGCCAAAAATCCAAATGCATGATATCATTCCCTACTGCACACAGACTAACACCCGAATTCAGAAAGGTGGCCCTCAATGCCCTTTCGGATTCAGCTTTGTCTTTTCTATCAAGTTATCCTCCTCTTTTTTCTCACCTTCATTCTTTCTGTGCTCCAAACTGAACCATTCTCCTATTCCATAAAGCTTTTCTACATCTGCTTCTACCAGGCTTCCATGTAGTTTTTATATAGATTATACCTTTTAAAGCCATTAGGTTCACAGTAAAACTGAGCAGAAGTTACAGAGTTTCAGTACACCTCCTACCTCAGCACTTCCAACATCCCACACCTCAGGTTACGTTTGCTACAATTGATGAACCTACATTGACCCATCCTATAATCACCAAAGCCCACAATTCACACTAGGGATTTTAGTTTTGGTGTTGACAGATGTATAATGACATGTATCCAATAGCGGAGGATAGATTAGCTTCACTGCTCTCTGAACCCTCTGTGTTCTATTTGCATTTTTACCTGTCTTGTTCCTTCTGATGAGGATTCCTTTCCTCGCCATCTCCACCTTGCCTTTTGGAATTGGTATATATCCTTTGAGACCCAGACCAGACGTGGCTCCACAGTGACCTCAGTTACTTCTGGATTCCCCTATTAATCCCGTGAATCTCTTGTACACCATTTGCCATACACAGTTTTGTGCACAAGCCTTTGGATGTAAAGCTGAAGTCCTTTATGAGATGACTCAATCCTTTTGAGAAAGGACTACATCTTATGCAACCCTGGTAAATCCCCCACAGTAGCTAACTCAGCGCACCTGGCACAATGCTGCCTTTTACTAAATGTTTGCTAGACTGATTTAAGCATAAATGCCTAATTTATCAGTAATTGTCCTGAGCAAGAGACAGGTCATGTGTAGAATCAATCACTTCCTTAACATTATTTCTAATTCATCAATCACCCCCCACAACTTGCTGACTGTACATGACCTAAGCCAACCACGTCAAGGAAAAATGATGATTCAGTGATTGAATTGGCTTTTTCTTTTTAGCTGTTGGAGATCTTGGGCATAATTTACCATCACATGCCGGTCCTCAGACAAAAGGAGGACAGTTTTCAGTTTATGCTGGAAGCCGTCTCTCAGATCGCCAGCTTTCACATGGACGCAGTGGTTGCCAACCTTTTACAGAAGCCTCTGCCCTTTGACAGGTAGAGTCAAACTAAGCCTTTTCCCAGGGAAGACCCCTCTGTAAGGCACTGGAGAAGAATTTCTGGTTTGAGAGAAAGATAGCAAACAAAAGTTGAAAACATCTCACCTGACTAATTTCAGAAACAGTGCTTAAATCACAGGTAATGGTTTTCCAAGTATTTTTCAAATATATGTCCTCATTGGATGATGAAAATTTTAGGTATGTGTATATGTATGTGTGTGTGTGTGTGTATTTAAAATAGGAGTAAGTGAGTTTTAGAAAGTAATTATTTCTCCCCTTTCTGGTTGCTGAGAATGCATCTGCATGAGAGGTTTCTGTCTTGATGGATATTAACAAACCACAGCAACCCAAGGCCCGCATGCTAGATTGTTAAATAAAGCATCTTTATTATCCTCAGGCATGTTGGCATGTCCACTCGTCCCCGCAATTGTGATTAGTCATAATCACAATGTGATTTTAGAGTGGATCCAATGGAAAAGCGCATCTCCCAAGGAGTTGAGCCTCATCAGCTTCCTGCCTTCCTTCCCTAGGGACACAAAGACACTGTGGAAATCTCTGGCTGAGAACTCAGCTTCCAGTGGCAAACTCTTGCGAGCCTTAGTCGACAAACTGGAGAACGAGCTAGAAGATGACCTAGCCAGGACAGAGGCGATATCTGTGAGTTGGACAACCCGACACATCTGAGCTGTCCCCACCTGGCGCTGGGCGGTGCAGCATGAATCACACTTCTTCCCCTCTCATACTCCGGTTTGTACTGGACAATCACGGCAGTGGTATGGGAATGACTTTGTCTGTGGCTGATCATGTTTAGAAGCCAATTTCTCATCAGCCCAAGGAAAATCTGTGCCTCTGTTTTCAAATTATCCTTCAAGACATCTAATTGTTGTCAAAAGACCCTAAGCCTACCTGATGGTGCTGACTAGACTTTGGAGTCACCCCACACGGGAGCCATGAGAGAAAAACACAGCCTGAGTTGAGAAGTTTCCAGAAAAATAAACCCTCCGTTTTCTCCCTTTTCTGTGTGTTTTTACCACAAGTGTGGTCCACCTGGGAAGCAATCCTGTGGAGGGACAACAGCCTGGAAGGTCAGCCCCGCCTGACACGAGACCCTTCCTCCCCGCAGGTGGCCTGTGCCATGTATGAAGTGGTGTCGACGGGCACCCCTGTCGGGAGTCTGTACCCGGAGCTGTTCACGCTTCTCCTGAAGCTGGTCAGCTGCACGCTCGGTCAGAAGATGCCCACCTCCGCCCTCAGCCGCCGCCGGCGGGTGATGCCGCAGGGCGAGCGGCAGCAGATAGCTGACCCCTGCAGGTAAACGGCCAGGCAGGAGGGCCTTCTGGAGACGTCCTGACCTGAGACTCCAGAAAAGGGCCTGGCATGGCCTCAACTATCCATGAAGAAACAAGGTCCCGCCATCTCTGAGTCTCATAGCTCTTCCCGGAGCTGGTACCCAGGCGCTGTTGTCCAGAACAGTCTTAAAAGCAGCAACATCCTTTTCTCTACAGTGCCCCATCCACTTCCTTTGTCTTCTTGCCTTGAAACCTTTCAAGGAAAGTTGGAATTCTGTAATATTCAAGGCAGGTGGCACTAGTGGTAAAGAATCTGTCTCCCAACGAAGGAGACTGCCAAAGCAAGAGATGCAGGTTCAATCCCTAGGTTGGGAAGATCCCCTGGAGAAGGAAATGGGACCCACTCCAGTATTCTTGCTCGGAAAATTCTATGAATTGAGGGTCCTGGGGGACCCCAGTCCCTGGGATTACAAAGAGTCCAGCGCGACTGAGTATACACATATACACCATACAAGGAAAAAATAAAAATAAATATCATATTTCCTCAAATCTAAGACTTCATCAATTGAAGGAAGCAATATTATTTCATGAACCATTGAAAAAGGTAAAAAAAAGAGTCCCAATTAAGTCATAAATTAGTGCTTTCTTAAACTATTAAATTCGTATTTTATATCGTTCCATAGAGCTCTTGAGGATTATTAGGTATAGATTTTTATCCTGTAACACATTGCTCTGCTTCCCTGTTCTCTTGCCTAATTTTATTCCAAAGTCAAATCAACCTATTAAAGGGCATTTTAAAGAGCAGTTAGACCCAGTGAGCATGCATGTTGGGAGGGTGGGCAGGGGGTTGGGTCTGCTTGCTTGCCCGTGCAGGCTCATGCACTCAGTCACTCCCATCTGACTCTTTGTGAACCCACAAACTGTGTAGCCCACCAGGTTCCTCTGTCCATGGAATTCTCCAGGCAAGAATACTACAGTAGGTTGCCATTCCCTTCTCTAGGGGATCTTCACGACTCAGGGACTGAACATGGGTCTCCTGCATCGCAGGCAGATTCTTTATCATCTGAGCCACAAAGCAAGCAGTTAGGCTCAGCACATGTACATACATGCATATAACTTTAGTAAAATACCTATAGCTCTAAGCATGCATGTGTGCATGCTAAATCATATCAGTCATGTCCCTCTCTTTGCAACCCTATGTAGCCTGCCAGGCTCCTCTGTCCATGGGATCCTCCAGGCAAGGATACAGGAGTGGGTGGCCAGGTCCTCCTCCAGGGACAGCTCAAACAGCCATACCTAAATCTGTTTGTGTACACGAATTGTATACACAATCAATAGAGACTGCATCACAACTACTGTTTTTCCAACAATTGCAATGCACTATCCATTGAGAGATGCAACCTGGTTTCCAAGGTGCTGTGTTTAAACCACTCAAATACAGTATTTCACACTTTCTATCCTCAGGGCTTGATTTTCTCAGGAGAGGTTAAGATTTTATGGGATTATTGACTGACTTCCGGACATGTCAATATCCCCTGTGGCCCCAACACCAAAGTGTGAGATCAAGGCTGCCTGTGTTTTCCTTGCACAGCCTCCATTCATCCAGGAGTAAGGGACCATTGTGGGGAACATTTTTTTTTAAACAAACAAAATGTGTTATATTTATTCTGTAGAATATAGTGGTTATAAGTAACCATATTCATAGACATCAATATAGAGCACCAAGGTATAATATGTGAAAATACAGAATACAGACAACTTGATGATATTTATTATGGATTATGGACTTGGGGGCTTAACAATTCCCTGCCCGGTGTGGATTTATTTTATGATGCCAACTGTCTCTTTCAGGCTCTCAACTACAGCTCTGAAGTGTGTGCAGGCCCAGGCCATGAGAGAAGGGCTGACCAAAGAATCTGATGAGGGAGACAACGTGTGGAGCCTCCTCAGCAGCCCCAATACCCACCACATAGGAGTCTGTGCACTGGCCAGGTAATGTTCAGATACTCCAAAACTAGATACCAAAGAAAAAACTGAAAACAAAGTGAAAATGCAGTGCAGGCAACTTCACTGAAAGCCATTGAGCCACCAAGGACTTAGAGTCAAGGAGAAAAAAAAGAAAAACAGAGGAAAAATCAAAGGGGATTGGGAAGACATGGTAGGATAAGCTCCAAACCCAGCAATTCCTCAAAAAACTTTGATACAAATGAACAGTTTTAGGCAAACTACACTTTAGAGTTTGAGTAAACTCCGGGAGTTGGTGATGGAGAGGGAGGCCTGGCATGCTGCAGTCCATGGAGTCCCAAAGAGTTGGACACGACTGAGCGACTGAACTGAACTGAACACTTGAGTCAGGTACTTAGATAGGGTGTTACAAAGTTTAAGGCTTGGTGCTCTTTCTTTGTTAACATCCCTTTTTAAAATAATTGATTTTCCTGATAGAGAAATAGACCAAAGTGTCTTCCATTGTTTAGAAAGAAAAAAGTCTCTGCTACAATGGGAGCCTTGGTTTTCTAGGGGCATGACCGTGTGGCAACATGGAATCATACTGGACATCACAGAACAACTCCTCCCATCCCTGACCTCCTCCTCGGAGAACTACCGGATAACAGGCACCGCTTTCTTCTCTGAGGCAAGCCATCCCAGCAGGCTCTTTGGGTCCCACGGGGTATCTCTCTCAGGAGTTCAATGGGAACCAGAGCCACAGAAGAGGGAGCTTCACTGAGAGCTGTGGGAGTGGAGAGGCCCAATGACTGCCAGAGGTACAGTACCTGAGCAGAGGGAGAAGGGAAAAAGAACCCAGGCTTGTCCTCTTCCTGCCCTCTGGTCTGTAGACATCAACCTGCAAAGCAGAGAAGGATAGAGAAGTAACCTGGAAAAGACAAAACAAAATATAACCAACAAATATATCAATACTACAGTCCTTCCACGCTCTGGGGTAAAGGCTGGCCCAGCCAGTCCAGAGAAATAACATCATCAGTTACTCCTGTTTTCCATGCTCCGTTTTCCCATTTAGATTAGAATTATCTTTTTAACTGGGCTTCCCTGGTAGCTCAGCTGGTAAAGAATCTGCCTGCAAGGCAGGAGACCCCAGTTCGATTTGTGGGTTAGGAAGATTCCCTGGAGAAGGGCATGGCAACCCACTCTAGTATTCTTGCCCGGAGAATTTCCATGAACAGAGGAGCCTGGCAGGTTTTATTCCATGAGGTTGCAAAGAGTCGGACACAACTGACGACTAAGCACGTGCATGTGTATTCTTAACTAGGTGTTTTGGTTCTCATCAGCTCATAACCTTGACCTGTGGGTTGCTCACCGATAGAGCTTAGTTCCTGCCAGTTTTGAATATTCACCCAAGGCGTCTTCCTCTGTTCCGCAAGCAGCTGGGGCCCTACCCTTTCATCATAGCTGTGATGCCTTCAGAACTCTCCTGAAGGGAGGCCCTTCCCTCAAATAAAGGGGAGAAGTATGTCATTTTCAGCTCATGAAGGAGCCAATCCTTTGGAAGCATGGGAATCTACGCGATGTGCTTGTTCTGATGGATCAGAGCGCCTGGGACTCCAACCCCATCCTGAGGCAAATGGCCATCCGGGGTCTCGGGAATACAGCTTCTGGAGCCCCTCACAAGGTAAAGGGGGTTGGTGGAGGGACAAAAAGTAGTTCATCTAAGTAGAGTTAGGGGCTTCCCAGGTGGCTAAATGGTAAAAAAAAAAAAAAAAGCCATCTGCCAATGCAAGAGACACAGGAGACACTTTCCATCCCTGGGTTGGGAAGATCCCCTGGAGAAGGAAATGGCAACCCACCCCACTATTCTTGCCTGGAAAATCCCATGGAGAGGAGCCTGATGGGCTACAGTCCATGCAGTTGCAAGGAATTGGACCCAACTGAGCATGCATGCACACAAGTAGAGTTTTAAAATAATTATTTAGTAACCCATACCCCATGGTTACACATGGGGTAACCATGTGTGTTAATTTCAGAATTTAAGTGAAAATCCAAATAAGTTACTGAAGTAGTGGCTCTTGGGTTGAAGGATCTGTGACCTTAACAGAATGTCAGTCCCCTTGTCTGGGGTCTCCTACCCTATTCCAGATACACATAGAACAGTTTTCAAGATTAAGAGACCTTTTTTTGAAATAGGTGAAGAAGCACAAGCAGATAATGCTAGAATCTGTCATCAGAGGCCTCTATCACTTGGCCCGCACTGAGGTCGTCTGTGAAAGCTTGAAGGCTCTAAAAAAGATCCTGGAGCTGCTCACAGACAGAGATGTGAGCTTCTACTTCAAAGAAATAGTGCTGCAAACAAGAACCTTCTTTGAAGATGTAAGTGAACCTGATCAGGAATCTTCCCTCCCCAGAAGAAGTGAGTGAACAGAAAGAGGTTCAGGCAGTGCTTGCAGCAGACCAGCCATACTCACTAATATTCCCTTTCATAGTCTTCCTCTCTTGTCCATCTTGCTTCCTGGGCTCACCTCCCACATAAATCCCTTACACTTAAATCCTTACCCCATGTTTTCTGTTGGGGGAAAACAGATGATGACAGTACTCATTACAGGGCTAGACGTTAATGCCTCCAACACTATCTTTTTCATGTGCAAGATTTCAAAGATTCAAAATGCTTGCGTAGTTCATTTCATCCAGGAGTTATTAAACTTCCCCATGGCTCATGGGCCAAATTTTACCCCGAACATCTTTTTGCAAGTGTAGTGTTATTGGAACACAGCCATGCTCACTGGTTACATATTATCTATGGCAGCCTTCACACTTCATATGCAGAACTGATTAGCTGTTACAGAAACCATGTGGCTCACAAAGTCTCAATTATTCAGCGTTTGGTCTTGTATGGAAAAATTTTGTCAACCCCTGATGTGGTTTACAGACCTCATTTCAGAAAAGATCAGTCAATGATCCTAGGCAAAGGAAGGTCATTTTTCTTTATACCTCCTGGGAAACTAGATTTTAATATTTTTTCTTGGTTTTTTCACTGTCATTAATGTAGAAAGCTATTTCACTTCTAACATAAACCTATTTTTTATCATCTATACCTGTCTGCTCCTATTGTGTGATGGGAGGAGACGGAAACTGTTGGCTACCTCTAGTGCATCCTTCTTAAACGTTCAGGCTTTATTAAATTACCTATTCACCTGATAGTCTCCAGAATGAAAAGTCTTTATTTCCTTCATGATTCACCATAAACCTAATTTTTCAGCTCCTTAATATTTTACAAGCCAGTGACTGTGTTGTATCTCTAAATGAGACCTGAGAAGTATTGAATAGAATCTGAAGAAAAATCACCTCTCAAGTCCATTTTTTTCCTATTTATTCACTCTAGTTTTTTTTTTAATCTTACCCTTTCTTCCTGACTCTTTAGCAATTTATTAACCACCTCGACCTCCAGATTCCAGTTTGTAATACATGCCCTCAGTCCATATTCCACCAGTTTTGTGTGTTTCAGTTCCTCTTGTGTGAGTCTAAACCTGACCTTTGAAAGCAGCTTTCTGCTGGCATTAGTGTTACTTTCTCCAACATATTAGTGTTACTTTTCATTCTCATTTTGTACTCAAAAGTTGTTTATGGGCTTTCACTCAATTCAGTATCTTCTGTAAAATAACAAAGATGTTCTCTTCTTCACTACACAGATAATTGAAACTATCTTTAACAACAAAGAGCTGAAGTCAGCTCCAGAGAGCCCCCCACCTGTTAGGTTTTCTGGACTGTTGTTGATTCAATGCTAGTAACACTCTTGGATCTGAGCCTTCAATAATCACAAGTCTCTCTACAAGTTTTATGGTCAAAAGAATGTTTCTCACTCTTACTGCAAAAGAAAAAAACTAGTCTTTCTGGTTGTTAGAACTTTTTCATTTCTAGTAGGTTATCAACCTCATCAAATTTGCATAAAATTTGACAAAAATTGAGTCTTAATAATGACATGTTCTTTACAGTCCTGTAATGCTCTTTGGGGGTGGTACTAGTGGTAAAGAATATGCCTGCCAATGTAGTAGATTTAAGAGATGCAGGTTTGATCCCTGGGCTGGGAAAATCCCCTGGAAGAGGGCATGGCAACCCACCCCAGTATTGTTGACTGGAGAATCCCATAGACAGAAAAGCCTGGTGGGCTACTGTCCATAAGATGGTAAAGAGTTGGACACAACTAAAGCAACTATGTGCACGCAATGCTTTCTTTCTGCAAATAAATTATGATACTTTGCCCCTATATTTTTCAATAGATAAAACATGCAATTCTATAATCTCCAAATTCTTTTTTTCACTATAGAAGTACTTTCTTGAAAATCCAAAAATATGGTGACACTTTGAAAAAATGGTAGAACAGAAAATATAGCTGCTGTCACATACTCCAGGCCCTGCTCACTGCTCACTGCTATTGCCAGCACCCAAGCACTCATGTCACTCTGTATTACAAGGACATTAAACTTTAATACTTCTTCCAGCACCCAAGACACTTCTGCCCTTCTCTTTTCTGCTTTCTCATTGTCCCAATTGGTTAATTCCTCCTTGACCTATCTTTAGGTCTTTGATTTTAGAAAATTCAAATGGGTTCTTTTTTTTTTTTTTAAGTAAATAACTCTAGCTTTTGGATACTTTGTCATTGGGTTGCTTCTCTTTCTAAAAGGAGATCTTTTAAAAATATACCTTAACCTTACTTCTAGTACATTTAAAGAACATGTCTACTTCCATCTCCATTCTACAAGGTCATATCTCATGTATTTAACTTTTCTAGCCTTTTCCCAACAAGCCATCTTTATTTTTTTATGGTAGATCTTTATTAGCATCCTTTTTCATAACATTGTTGTTTATATGCCCACTTCTCACACACGTTTTATTTTGCTATCAAAGTTAACTCTTCTGTCTTCTCCCCCTCATGTCCATGGGAATGCTTTTTTATTGGTCCTTGTTTGTTGCTAATCTAAATAATATTCTGTTATCCAGAATGACCTTTCCCCTTATCCCTCTGCCTTCCTATAGGTATTTTAAACTAGTTTTCTAGATACTCAACTCCCTCAAGAAAAAGAAAGACAAAAGAAAACCTCCAGAAAATTCATCAGAGTTTGTTAGAACTCTAAACCATATCAACAAAGTGTCTGAGATAACAGAAGGCCATCTTTCTCCACCACCCATTGAGGTCACATAAATCTTTTGCCTTTTAAAAAGCATTGCCAACCCTCCTGGACAGTAAGCAAGGGAGCTCCATAACTTCATATATACAAGAGTGGGGCTAAGCACTTTTTTGTTTATCCTCTCTCTCTCTCTCTCTGAGACCCAAAACCCAAATTTCTGAGCTTCCTGTAATCCCTTTGGAAAGTGTATGGGATCTTGGAGAAGTATCCTATACCTTGAGCAGTTTAGATCAGAGGCCCCATAACTCCAGGCTAATGATGCAATCAGACTAATATGTATAAAATACAGAATAAACAAGAACCCTCCCTGGCCTTCTGCCACCAGCACCCCATTTATTATTCCTGCAGTCACATTTCCTCATTAGCTCCTCGAAAAAACCAAGTCTCCAGCTCTAAATTCATGTCATGTGGGTGGAGAGATACTGGGAAAGGAAGGGCATTCTTGGAACACACAGGAGCTGTGACAAGAGAGCCCAGGCACTGGGGCTCCTTTCCTGCATGGGAAGGGGCAGAGTGGGCTGGGGGGGTTCCAGCTGGGAATGGCCATGTGGGGGACTCACCCATGACATGCATCTGTCACCACAGGAGCAGGATGATGTGAGGCTGACTGCCATCCTCTTATTTGAGAATCTGGCATCCCTAACAGGAAGAAGGTGGAAGATTTTTTTTGCTGAAGAAATAAAAAAGAGCATGATTTCATTCCTTCTCCACCTCTGGGACCCCAATCCCAAGATTGGAACTGTAAGTGGCCCCTGCACAGACAACTGCGCCTCCTCCTCTGCCCATGGCCAAGAGGTGCCAGGAAGCCTGGTCTGGCTGGACCAGAAGCCATATCTGAAGACACCATTCTCAAATGAACCTGAAAACCAGTTATCCCATCCTGGGTTCTTTTTTGGCCATCACTTCCTGAGTTTGCACTTCCATCTTTGAAACTGGGAAGGTGGTAGCACTGACTGTCTAGCCCTCGCATCACTCTTTTTTTTTTTTCCATTTATTTTTATTAGTTGGAGGCTAATTACTTTACAACATTGCAGTGGTTTTTGTCATACATTGAAATGAATTAGCCATGGATTTACATGTATTCCCCATCCCGGTCCCCCCTCCCACCTCCCTCTCCACCCGATCCCTCTGGGTCTTCCCAGTGCACCAGGCCCGAGCACTTGTCTCATGCACCCAACCTGGGCTGGTGATCTGTTTCACCCTAGATAATATACGTGTTTCGATGCTGTTCTCTTGAAACATCCCACCCTCGCCTTCTCCCGGAGTCCACAAATCTGTTCTATACATCGGAGTCTCTTTTTCTGTTTTGCATATTACTGCTCTTTTCCCAACACACCAATCAGCCTGCCTTCCCTTCTGGAAGGGGAACTAGCATTATGCACTGTGACACAGAAAACTCTGTTTTCCAGGCTTGCCGTGATGTCCTGATCATCTGCATTCCTTTTCTGGGCCTCCAGGAACTCTATGGGGTATTAGACCATCTCTTGGATGGTCAGGATCTTCCAAGGGCCAGGGATTTTTACAGGCAGTTCTGCATGAAGCTGGTGAGTGTGCGATAGGTGCTGCTTCCAAAAATTCAGGCCAAGAGTCCAGGCAAATCCCAGAAGGCAAAGCACATAGCAAAGAATCCCAGCTAGAGCCAGAACCATCTGGGAAGAACAGTGATACCGAAAATCCTGCCACATCACTCTCTACTCTATCCCCAAGTTCCAGCTGGAATCTGCTTTTGATTCCTGAAACATCTGTTGATTAGTCCTATAAGCTCCAGTGCCACCCTGATTAAATTTAGAATGAAATAGCCATAAGACACCTTCCAACAGAACAATTAATGGCTATATGCATGCTCACTGGTCTTTTGATGTCTGTTCTTAGGGCCTATAGGATGCTGAATTTCTTAGAGTTACTTCTCAGTTGCCCTCTTTTTTTTTTTTCAAATTTATTGAAGTATAATTGATTTACAGGGTTGTGTTAATTTCTGCTCAACAGCCAAGTAACTCAGTTATACATATATATTCTTTTCATGTTCTTTTTCATTCTGGCTTATCACAGGATATTGAATATAGTTCCCTGTGCTATACTATAGGACCTTGCTGTTTCTCCATTCTATATATACTAATTTGCTTCTGCTAATCCCAAACTCCCAGTCCTTCCCTGCCCACCCGCCACTCCCACTTTCAGTTGCCCTCTTTGTAACACATATCTCTTCCAGTCAAAGAGAAACCAAGAAATCCTATGGATCCTCCACACACACTCATTCACCTTCTTCAGCAGCAGCTGGGAGACCATCAGGAGTGCAGCCATCAAACTCACAGGTGAGGCCACGTCCACTCTCTCCACTCACAGGTCTGCTCCTTGCCATCCTGTTTTGCTTTGCCTGGAAGCTACCCCAGCATGAATGCTGGTATGATTGTGTGCTGTTGCTTCAGTCATATCTGACTCTTTGCAACCCCATGGACTGTAGCCCGCCAGGCTCCTCTGTCCACAGGCTTCTCCAGGCAAGAGTACTGGAGTGGGTTGCCACGCCCTCCTCCAGGGGATCTTCCCAACCCAGGGATCAAACTCATGTCTCTTATGTCTCCTGCATTGGCAGGTGGGTTCTTTACCACAAGTGCCACTTGGGAAGACCAGGATGATTGGTATGACCAAAAAAAGCCAGAAAATTCATTTTATGTATTACAACATCTTCCCTCAAAAGAACCTGTTCTCTTTGCAGACTTACAGTAACAGCTTCTGAGTTCCCAACACTCATTTTCTTTCTATCAGACCATTCTCCCTGTTCGGGTCCTTCATGCTTCTCCTGGTTCCAAGTCACTGTTCCCTCTTTTCCCCAGGTCTCTGATCCAAGCCTGCAGCCCCTGCCAAATTGTTTTCCTTTTTACCACCCATTAACATAAACCATAGTCAACCTTCTAAGCTCAGTTCAAGCTGAAAGCTTCAGCAGCAGCGTGATAACCAGTGAAAAGGGTATGGGTGTGTGGGGGCCAGCAGACCTTGGCTCTGCTAGGTGATTCTGGACAATTCACTGAATTTCACTGTGTTGCCTCTTTGTTTGATCTATGAAATAAAAGAGGAAAGTAAGTGGATCTCTGAGGATCAAGTCTTATCATGAAACCCATTCCATCTAATCAGGCCCACAACGAATAGGCCCACTGGGTTGGCTACCTTTAAGAAAGAAAGTGAAGTCGCTCAGTCGTGTCTGACTCTTTGCGACCCCACGGACTGTAGCCTTCTGGACTCCTCCGTCCATGGGGATTCTCCAGGCAAGAGTACTGGAGTGGGTTGCCATCTCCTTCTCCAGGGGATCTTCCCACCCCAGGGATTGAACCTGTGTTTCTCACACTGCAGGCAGACTCTTTACTGTCTGAACCACCAGGGAAGCCGGATCCTAAGGATCCCTTATTGGATCCTATAGAGGATCCCCTTTTTGTTGTTGTTCAGCCACTAAAATGTGTCCAATTCTTTGTGAGCCCATGAACTGCAGCATGCCAGGCTTCCCTGTCCTTCACTATCTCCTGGAGTTTGCTCAAACTCACGTGCATTGAGTTGGTGATACCATCCAACCATCTCATCCTCTGTCACCCACTTCTCCTCCTGCCCTCAGTCTTTCCCAGAATCAGGATCTTTCCCAATGAGTCAGCTCTTCACATCAGGTAGCCCAAGTATTGGAGCTTCAGCTTCAGCAGCAGCCCTTCCAATGAATATTCCGGGTTGTTTTCCTTTAGGATTGACTGGTTTGCTCTCCTTGCCATCCAAGAGACTCTCAAGAGTCTTCTCCAGCTCCACATTTCAATAGCATCAATTCTTCGGTGCTCAGCATTCTTTATGGTCCAGCTCTCACATTCATACATGACCACGGGAAAAACCATAGCCCCCTAACTACGTTCTAAATTTTTGGAAGACAGGGGCCATATATGTTTGAAACCCTGACAACTCACACTGCGCCCTGCCCCCCGCCCCCCCGGAGGACATAGTGTGTTTTCCCAGCAACAGTGAGCGAGCGACCACTTCCAGTAACAGGACTCAAGACTCCATACACATCACTCTCACATCATCCTGGAGGTGCATGGGGAGCCTAGCTTGTTCATTCACTATTCAGACCACTTAACTTCTGACCAGGTGCAGAGTCTGTCCTGACTTTTTGTGGCCAATTCCTCTATAGCAAAATCAGTAACTTTTCTTCTTGTTGATTTTAGATGCCATTGTTCTCAATTTGACCTACCAATATGTGGAGCTAATAGACAGAGAACAACTGACCACACGTGAGTACCAACCCTAGTTTCTGTCCAGAGCCCTGTTATATTTTTTTTTTCTTTTTTCTTTTTTTTTCCCATTTATTTTTTATTAGTTGGAGGCTAATTACTTTACAATATTGTAGTGGGTTTCGTCATACATTGACATGAATCAGCCATGGATTTACATGTATTCCCCATCCCGGTCCCCCCTCCCACCTCTCTCTCTACCCGATCCCTCTGGGTCTTCCCAGTGCACCAGGCCTGAGCACTTGTCTCATGCATCCAACCTGGGCTGGTGATCTGTTTCACCCTAGATAATATACATGTTTTGATGCTCTTCTCTCGAAACATCCCACCCTCGCCTTCTCCCACAGAGTCCAAAAGTCTGTTCTATACATCTGTGTCTCTTTTTCTGTTCTGCATATAGGGTTATCGTTACCATCTTTCTAAATTCCATATATATGGGTTAGTATACTGTATTGGTCTTTATCTTTCTGGCTTACTTCAGTCTGTATAATGGGCTCCAGTTTCATCCATTTCATTAGAACTGATTCAAATGAATTCTTTTTAATGGCTGAGTAATATTCCATGGTGTATATGTACCACAGCTTCCTTATCCATTCGTCTGCTGAAGGGCATCTAGGTTGCTTCCATGTCCTGGCAATTATAAACAGTGCTGCGATGATCATTGGGGTGCACGTGTCTCTTTCAGATCTGGTTTCCTCAGTGTGTATGCCCAGAAGTGGGATTGCTGGGTCATATGGCAGTTCTATTTCCAGTTTTTAAAGAAATCTCCACACTGTTCTCCATAGTGCAGAGCCCTGTTATATTCTTAAAGAAAGAGAAACTAACACCACTCCAAGTTCCACATCAGCTGTAAAATCACAGTGTTCCCCATCATCAGTGGTCTCTGATGCTCGCCAGATACTGGACTTTCTCCAGAGTGTAAGGTGACCCTCAGCTCCATCCCATTGCAGGCACCATTCCCAACAGACTTCAATTTTTCGATTGTTTATAAACCTACTGGTCCCAAGGTCAGCATCTTCTCTTCCCTTATTTCGGTGTCAAAATAGTTTCTAAATTTGTGGAACCAAATCCTACCCATTAGGGTGAAATATGAGCCCAGGGGCCTGAGCCCCACGTAGCTCTGATCCTTAGTGGAGGCTTCCCTGTACTGCGAACTTAGGGCCTTGGCTTTCTTCCCTCAGTGGACATTGCTCTTCTTTCCATTTCAGGGCTCCAAGCACTTCGACAGGACCCCTGTATCAGTGTCCAGAGAGCAGCCGAAGCTGCCACACAGACCCTCCTAAGAAAGTGTAAAGAGATAAGTGTCCATCTGTAAACCATCAGGAAATAAACTGCTAGGCTTTTTCTATAACTGACTCCTGTCTTCATCCTCACAACTCACAAACTTGTAATATCTTGAGGAAAGAGGTGGCACCCAGGATGGGGATCTTGAGGTAGTGGTATATATCCCTTACCCTCCAGACTCTCCCTGGTGGCTTCTGTTAGCAAAAACCACATTCACCAGTTCACATGAGGAATAACCTGTGATGTGAGTGGTGACATCCACATGGCCTTTGCACAGGACAGCCTTCTATGGAAGCTTACATCCCAGCAGATGCCAAAAAAATGACAGAATGTCAAACAGTTCTGCTGCCACTGAGGACTGCTGCTACTTTCCACACATAGCCCCTCTTCATATCTTTGCCTGTTTTGACTTGCTACTCATGCTCTTTTCTTTCTAAAAAAGTCTTATGACAAACTTTAACCTGTCTGTTCTTACTTTGTAATTTATGTGTCGAGATTGCGCCTCAGGGACTTTTCTACAAAAGGCCCTTCCTGACATTGTATTAAATCTCACTGTCTCCTTTCATTTTTATCCCAGAGCATTCCTCCCTTTGAATTGTGTGTGTGCAAGTGCATATGTGTTAACCTGCTTCATGGTATCTGAATCATAAGTCTTCACTCTTTTTCACAGTGAACACCTGAAAAGCTATGTACAGGAAGTCATGTTCAGGCAAAGAAACTTCTAACACAGAGTCCGGACTCAGTTAACACCACCACTATCACAGTCATTCATTAGCAGCCTTATTTTTTGCTATTATTTTTGTCTTGTGGACATAAATTTCAAACACTGAGCTCAAGTATGATCTAGCCCTTTGTTCAGATTTCTAAAATAAAGATAAACTGATAGACAGCTTTAAGGGTGCAATGTATTTAACACTGTACATTAAACAATTAGAAAAAATCTAGGGGGTATCATAACTACATCTTTTATATTTAGTAGCACAAGTATAGGGACAAGCCATGCAATTGGAGGAAAAACCTGTTCGGGACTGACAGAGAGATCCTTGGTTGCTGGCAGAATCTCCTCCTGACTCCAGACTTGAGAAAAACTAGGAGTCTATCAGTATACAAAAACCACTGAACTCAGGACAAACAGTTACAAGATATTAAGGAACTGGCTCTTGGCAATTCGGATTGTGGGGCCCAGTTTGAGGTAAGCAGGGTTGACTGGAGACTGGAAATGGTGCAGTTCAAGTCTAGAATCGATGGATTAGCACAGCAATCTAGAAACAGAATGTTAGTGCCTTCTTCAAAAATCCCCAGTTCTCCAACAAGTTCTAGGATTCTTTTCACAAACAACGGCAACACTTACTAAATTGACGTGTCTCCTTATAAATTCCTCTAGTCTATATTCTAATCCCTTCATCCTCAAGTTCTTGAGAAAATATCTTTCATTCCCACCAAACATTTTAGGAACCAAAGGAGTCTTTTAGGTCAGAGATTTTAGACCAGAGTCTCATTTATTCATCTGTTCAACAAATATTTATTGAGTGCCTATAAAGGTGTAAGGCACTGTTACAGCCACTGGGGCTACAATGATGAGGGAAAAAAAGTAGAAAAATTCTACCCTCATTAAATTTATACTCTATGGCATCTGTGTATAATTTCCAGAGGATGGAGCCAGCCTCCAGGATGGCTCCAAATGATTCTTGCCTCCTGGTGTTCCTGTAACCCTCTTCCCACAGTGAATAGAAATGCCTGTTCAATCAATACAAAAGTTCAGAAATGACAGTGTGTGACTTTCAAGGCAAGATCATAAGTGGTACTGCCCTCTCTTGAATCACCCACTCTGGAGGAAGCCAGCTGCCAACATAAGGATGCTCAAGCAGCCCAAAAAGAGATCCATGTGGCCAAGAACTGATTCCTTCTACAAACAACCAGAGCTAACTTGCTAGGTTCGTTAAGGAGCCATCCTGGAAATGAATCCATGAGCCCTGGGCAAAGCCTTCAGATGACTGAAGCCTCAGTTGACACATTGACTGGATTATGAGATAAAATACAGAATGCCCAATGAAATTTGAATTTCAGGCAAGCAATGAGTAGTAAAAGCATGTCCTGATTATTGCATGGGACACATTTCTACTAAAGAATCATTTATTGTTTTTCTAAAATTCCAAATTGACTGAACATCTTGTATTTTTATTTGCTAAATCTGGCCACCCCAGTACAATCTAACCAGAATCCTGGGTCAGAATCACTAAGCTAAACCACTCCTAGATTCCTGAACCACAAAACTGTGTGAGATAATAAATCTATGTTGTTTTAAGCCACTAAGCTTTAAGGTAATTTGCTATGCACTAATGGGTAACTATTAAACAGAAAGTCTGTTATCCCATCTGAAGTCATAAAGTTTCTGTGTATAATTGCATAGGTGTATTTTGGGGTAATGATTTAATTAAATTCTTAATGGAGTCAGGAGCTATTCCAAAGCATTAACACACGTGAAACAAAGCAAGAAGGCAAGAGATATGGTTTAGTTGACTTCTTTGGCAGGTTATTTTAAGTCAAATGACATTTCCAATAGAACTTTGCAATGATGGAAATGCTCTATATCTGCACTGGCTAATATGGTAGCCACTAGCCTTAGAATATGGGTAGTCTACCAGAGAAATTAAGTTTTTAATTTTAAGTAGTCATATGTACCTAATAGCTACAGTATCCCACAAGACAATTTCAGAATATGGGTCAAAGAGTTGTAACAGAACTTGGGCTGAGCCACCCAGAACTACAGGATATTCTCAACAAGTATAAATTCATTCACACAAGATCTTGTCTGATACTTCACATATCCATCCCCACTATGACTCTTCACCCATCCTGGTAACCAGCAAAGAGCCTCCCTTATCATTGATTGGTGGAAATTAGGTAGAGTGGCCACATGAAACACATACCACAACTGAACTTTTGTCTAAACCCTAATCTTAGAGGGATTCATCCTGACACACATTTCCAAGAGTCTTTTTATCACATTCCAGCTTCACCCTTTACTAGTTGTGTGATGGGGGAAAAATCATTTTACCTGCCTGTACTTCAATTTCCACATCTTTAAACTGGAATCATGGAACACAGTTCCTTGTAAACTGGGAACAAGGAACACCGCCTTGTCTAACTCAATGAAACTATGAGCCATTTGGTGTAGGGTCACTCAAGATGGATGGGTCATGGTGGAGAGTTCTGACAAAATATGGTCCACTGGAGAAGGGAATGGCAAACCACTTCAGTATTCTTGCCTTGAGAACCCCATGAACAGTATGAGAAGGCAAAAAGATAGGACTCTGAAAGATGAACTCCCCAGGTCAGTAAGTTCCCAATATGCTACTGGAGATCAGTGGAGAAATAATTCCAGGAAGAATGAAGAGATAGAGCCAAGCAAAAACAACATCCAGTTGTGGATGTGACTGGTGATGGAAGTAAAGTCTGATGCTGTAAAGAACAATACTGCGTTGGAACCTGGAATGTTAGGTCCATAAATCAAGGCAAATTGGAAGTGGTCAAACAGGAGATGGCAAGAGTGAGCATTGACTCTTGGAATCAGTGAACTAAAATGGACTGGATTGGCTGAATTTACCTCAGATGACCATTATATCTACTATTGTGGGCAAAAATCCCTTAGAAGAACTGGAGTAGCCATCATACTCAACAAAAGAGTCTGAAATGCAGTACTTGGATGCAGTCTCAAAAATGACAGAATGATCTCTGTTGGCTTCCAAGGCAAACCATTGAATATCACAGTAATCCAAGTCTATGCCCCGACCAGTAATGCTGGATAAGCCGAAGCTGAATGGTTCTATGAAGACCCTCTAGAACTAACACCCAAAAAGGATGTCCTTTTCATTATAGGGGAGTGTAATGTAAAAGTAGGAAGTCAAGAGATACCTGGAGTAACAGGCAAATTTGTCCTTGGAGTATAACATGAAGCAGGGCAAAGGCCAACAGAGATTTGTCAAGAGAACGCACTGGTCATAGCAAACACCCACTTCCAACAACACAAGAGAAGACTCTACACATGGACATCACAAGATGGTCAATAATGAAATCAGATTGCTTATATTCTTTTCAGCCAAAGATGGAGAAACTCTATACAGTCAGCAAAAACAAGACCAGGAGCAGACTGTGGCTTGGATGATGAACTCGTTATTGCCAAATTCAGACTTAAATTGAAGAAAGTAGGGAAAACCACTAGATCATTCAGGCATGACCTAAATTAAATCCCTTACAATTATACAGTGGAAGTGACAAACAGATTCAAGGGATTAGATCTGATAGACAGAGTGGCTGAAGAACTATGAACAGAGATTCGTGACATTGTACAGGAGGCAGGGATCAAGACCATCCCCAAGGAAAAGAAATGCAAAAAGGCAAAATGGTTGTCTGAGGAGGCCTTACAAATAGCTGTGAATAGAAGAGAAGCAAAGGCAAAGGAGAAGAGAAAAGATATACCCATTTGAATGCAAAATTCCAAAGAATAGCAAGGAGAAATAAGAAAGCCTTCTTCAGGGATCAATGCAAAGAAAAAGAGGAAAACAATAGAGTGGGAAAGACTAGAGATCTCTTCAAGAAAATTAGAGATACCAAGGGGATATTTCATGTAAAGATGGACACAATAAAGGACAGAAATGGTATGGACCTAACAGAAGCAGAAGATATTAACAAGAGGTGGCAAGAATACATGGAAGAACTATACAAAAAAGATCTTCATGACCCAGATAATCATGATGGTGTGATCACTCACCTAGAGCCAGACATCCTGGAATGGGAAGTCAAATGGGCCTTAAGAAGCATTACTACGAGCAAAGCTAGTAGAGGTGATGGAATTTCAGTTGAGCTATTTCAAATCCTAAAAGATGATGCTGTGAAAGTGCTGCACTCAATATGCCAGCACATTTGGAAAACTCAGCAGTGTCCACAGGACTGGAAAAGCTCAGTTTTCATTCCAATCCCAAAGAAAGGCAATGCCAAAGAATGCTTGAACTACTGCACAGTTATCTCACA